TGATTTCAGCCTTTTTTTTCAAAAATATTTCCACATTTACCCAGTAGGTACTACCTACCATATGAGTGACAAAACGAAACGGTTGAATAAAACATGCTGTGAATTGTGAACCATGCCATCAAATACTTGTAATTTCCCATTTCTTTTCCAGATTTTTTCAGAATACAATACAAGAGGAGCAAGTTAATTGGTAATGATAGAGATAAGGAAAATAGTTCAGTGTATTCGAATATTAGAAGCCAAAGGGGTCCTTGAAGTAGAACCATTTGGAGAAAAAAAATGATTTGCAAGAAAGCGAATCTCAGTTCGAATGGCTCAACAGCGGGTAAAAAACAGAGTAATGGAATAAATCAGTTAGTTGGGCCAGCAAGTGAGAAATCGGATTTTCATGACGAAACGGATTTCTCATGGGAATTTCTGAAGTTCATCGAACTCCTTTACAATCACATGAACGTTCGTGTCTGGAACTTTTGAGTTTCAAAAAAAAAACTGAATTCAACTAAAATCCAAGAGGATTTGAATCCGAGTAACTTTCGAAAACTTTTCTTCTTGGTGACTTTTTATTTACTCCCAAGAAATGCACCTGTTGAGTGAAGTCAGCATTGTGATCCAAATATTAAAAATGTGAGCATCTGTTCCAATTTGCATTCAGTTGTTTTTGTTTACTGTTCCTCATCCACCTATCTATACAACTAGGCATGGCACCGATTAGCTTCAATGAGTTCGAAGTGGTGTGAAGAATAATTGGTTTTTGGTCTGCTCCCTGGGGAAAATTTTCGAAAAGTGAAAGAATTACAGGAGGGAAAATATTCGAAAGTGAAAAGGGTTACTGTAAGAAAAATATCCGAAAAAAAATTTTTTCTAGGGTAAGACCCAATTTTTTTTAGGTCATGACCTAATTTTTTCTAGGTCACGACCCAATTTTTCTAGGTCATGACCAACTGTTTGAAAATTACTGTAAGTATGATTTGTCACATGATTTCTTTTTTTCAATACTTTGTACATGACCGGCTTAACACCTAAGCAAGGAAAGGAAACAAAAAAAAAGCAAGGAAACAAAAAAAAGAACCACGATGCATATCTATCCAGTAGTATCACAGAAAGTTCAAGATGCTTATGGATTGTATTCAATCTTGATGTTCTTGCGTATTTTACTGTCTGATTGTTGGAACATGGACATCTGGAACGTATTCTCCTTGTTGTCATCAGGCAACAGAACATAATCAAATGCGATACGATCCTTTTGAAAGTCGACGTCATTCCATGCAAACTTCTGTACCGAAACTGCTACAATTCTCATCTCTTCCACATTCAAAATTCCAAATGCAGGGTTAGCCATGACACGTGGCACAGCGTTTCCTTTGACTGCATAAGCGATACGATGACGACTGTTGTTGGTGATTTTCATGTGATACGTCAGGTTATCATAGTCAAATGGAGCATTGAAGACAAGTTTACCGGTTGGTAGGAACATCATGTCATTCAAATTTCCCGCTGGGCTGATTGCTGGAAATTAATTATCTGTTGAAAGCTGGAATTGTCTCTGAAAGTACCTCGAGAGTTGAATCCATTGGATTCCGATCTCAGGTTGTAGAATGAGTTGGATTGCATTGGATTGGGTCCCGATTTCAGACGTTGAGAGCCACCAGCCAAATCGGAATGACTTCTTGAAGATGGAAGTTTCGGCTCTGGGTCTGCTGGTGCAGGTGGTTCTTGTTGAGCTTGGGGAGCTTCTGCCACTGGTGCTGGTGCTGGTGCTGGTGGTGGTGGAGCTTGCTCGACTGGAGGAGGTGGTGGTGGTTGTTCAACTGGGACTGGAACTGGCACTGGTTCCGGAGCTGAAGCTGGTGCTTGCTCGACAGGTTTCGGTTGTTCTTGAACTGGTTGCGGAGGTGGTGGCGGAAGGGCAGTTCTGGTCGATTGGTTAGTCTTTGGAGTGGTACGTTGGCTGCGGCTTATTTCGGATACATTCTCATTGCTCTTCTGTAATAAAGATTTTTTACAGGATTAACCCATATTTAGGGAAAGATTACCTGTTTTTTGAGTTGTTCCTGAATGAGTTCACTGATTCTCTTATGTAACTCATATGGTGGAACGTAGAGCAAAACAAAGAGAGCCAGTTTGAAAATGTAGTAACACGGGATTCGTTCCAAACTCCGATCCATCACAGTCAGAGCTCCAAACAACGAGAAGTAGATGAACAGAGAGTCATCCGTTGGTTTCTCGGCTGGGAATACAAAGATGAGGAGAGCGGGAACAAGAACAAGAAGTTGGTTGGCAAAGAAATGAGCCTGAATCGAAATCTTTGTTTCCGGAATTAGATTTCAAGATCTTACATGATCACTGAAAACGAGAATGACAAAAAGGACGCCGCCGAAAATTTTGACAATCAATTCGGCATCCATTCCAGATGCGTCCGCAATCTGACCAATGAAACGGGCGGTAAAGTGTTTCTTATTGTGGATACGCTCACGGAGCCATTCCAGCGTTTCGCATTTGTCGCCACAAGAGTCCGACATTTTGAGTGATCGATTAATCGAATCGATTACGAATCCTAGTAGGGAATAACTGCTGTAGTGGGGATTCTGAAGGCGGGGTTCTGTATAGATCAGGAGGAATGATATGTGGATGCCCCGTTGGCACAGCCCACGTTAAAAGTGTTAAGATAACTTGACATATAAAAATGACAGTAACATCAAAAAACCTTTATTGGGAAAGAGTTTTGGGATTGAGTTGAAGAAGATAGAACAGAATCACAAAATTGGAATTCAATTTTTTCAGTCAGATTCTAGTTGTCAGCGCTATGTTGTCGTTTAAACTTCCTGTTTCAACACTTTCGCAACCAAGGATGTTTCTAGGGAGACACAGGCAACGCATGATTGGACTACAGATGTATGCAGAAAACTGATCTGAAATTTTTTTGTTTTCAGTTTGAAGGAGGGGGAAAATGAAACAAAATTTCTCGAAATTCTGTTCATATACGCTCCTTTAGGATTTGAACTTGTGGGGCAAGTATTGAATGTGCGGTGCCTCTCCCAATTGAGCCACGCTGGCGCAAGCTGAAGCGGCACTATAACGCGCCGTGTAACTCAGAATGCATACCCTAACTTCAAAAAAAATACTTCCCCCCCCCCCCCACCCCTTTATTTTAAACATAAATTGAGCTTACCTGCAATAAACTTCCGGTAATCTTTCATGATGAACAAAACTCCGATTGGGTCAACGGCAGGATAGATGACCAGTGTGATACTCAGAATGTTGGCATCGACACCGAGAGGAATTTCGAAAAACGGAAGAGCATAAAATATGATGCATGGTAGGAAAATGAGAATGGTTGGGGTTGCCGTCTTAAACAAAAAATGGGAATTTCAGGAATGTGGAATGAGTTACCTGTACTAGAAGTGCTCGAAATAGCATCCGCTGGAGCTTTAATTTATCGTTTAACTTGTCTATTCCTTGTTTTGTCCGGAAATATGTCGTACATCCACAATAAATAATAACAATCACCATGCAAGTCTGAAACAGAAAAAGACCTCAAAAGATCCCGGTCAAACATACAAAAACAAAATTGAGGGCTAGAGCTGTTCCCGTCGATAAATAGTTCCATTTTCGGGTTCCGTTCGCATCTCTTGTGAAGTATTCAACTGCCACATAGTGAATCTTGTCAGCTGACACATTGTATTCTTTGGCCATACGTTCTCTGAAATATTCGGTTCAAAAAACTAGTATCCATTCTATTTTACCTGATATCGAAATCTTTTTCCGGTGTTAAATGGATGCCAACGAACCCGCATCCTCCGTACACAACAGCCACAATAAGCATTGCTAAAAAGAAATATACCATGCGCCATCCGAAGAAGTACGTCTTCCTCTTCATGTCCATTTGCCTGAAAAACAGTGAAACTTGTCTTTCTAGCCTACCCTGTCATGACGTAATATCTGCACAGAAACTGAGCAGCGAGTGTCAGAAGTACATATCCAACAGAAACACAACAACCTCCAAGAAGGACCCAAATTCCCCATGGTGGGAGATGAAGAGGATTGCTGAGAGTAAACATCATAAACGATCCTCCAATGGTGTGAAAACTCTAGAAATTGAATAAAATGAAAAGGAATAGACTGAAATGTGGATACCATGTGAGTGACAGAAGCCAGGATGGAGAAGAATATACTTTGACAGCTAAAGTAGGCCATGAGCCATTTGTATCTCCCAATGCCTTTGACGGATTTTGTAACGATACAATAGAGGAGGAGAAGGTTGATCGGGATAGCGAGGGATGTGAACGCAAAATCCACATAACGAGATACGGTCATCCAGGTTGGGCCAGATAGTAGCCTCATCTGAAACTTGTTCCATTAGATAAGAAGTAAAAAAACAATTCTGATTAGCAAAAGATAGAGTAACATTTTGGAAAATCGTTGCATAAAATCATTGAACAGCTTGGAATTTATGAAAAATCAAACAGAAATCTAGGAGCGTCTTTTTTTTAATTTCTGGTATGGAGTACGAAAAAACACAAATTCTCAAGAGAAGGAAGATCGATCGGTGTGTACAGGATCTAACACCATATCTTCTTAAGGTGTAAACTTCCATAAATGAAACGTTCAGAAGCTCAAACATAGAGAGGATCTCAATATTCCAGACGGAAGTTGAGAGCCACGCCCACAAAAATGTAGACTGGAGAATGAAATGGATGTTTACCTTTCAAATTTCGGTCCCAGTGGGATGCTCTTCTGACTAGTATTAATCGATTTAGATGATAAAAGTTAGATGTGATCGTTTAATTTCGTTTGATTTCTGACTACGATATTTTTTTGCTTTGGTAATCTTCTGAACTGGTGAGTGGCCTTTTTAGAGAGTGTGTATTATTCTAAGAAAAAAAACATAATTAGCGGGCTGAAAATAAATTGTAATTGTGGGTTAGTCATTTTGAAATAAACTGATTTTAAAGTCTTGATTATTTTTCTGATATTTCAGAGAACAGAACATGATAAATGAAGATGATGACTGTCTGTGAAGATTGAAACATTAGATTTCAAAATCAATTATTCAGAATCAGGTACTCAAAAAACGAGCATGATTGAGAAATTGAGTTAGATCTCTGGGTATGATCTCCGTAAAAAATCTGTTGGAAACATAGTTTCAAAACCTGTATCACTATCCTATAACTTCACAACTATATACCGTAATCCCTGTCGATACTATTTTGTAACGCTCATAATTACTCGGGGCTCAAATTTGTACTGGCATAAAATTTGAATGAAGCGTTGTACTGGGATCAAGTTTGGAGTGCAGAAATCTGAAAGATGCATGTGTAAACTGACCAAACTTCAAACGAATTCATCAACTTTGAGCTGAGTTATCACTTGTCAAAGTTGCTTCATCTTATGAAAATCACAAGAAAAATTTTGTCGCTCATCTTTGGACAGTCAGTACATTTGAATCAAACCTAAAATTATATTTATACCAATTTCTGTGCTTTCAAGATAATTTTAAAAATATATCCGTTTTATCAGTCCGGGTAATCGTACGAAACCCTGTATATACAGTAACCCTGTGAATTCAATTTTGTAACGGATCTATGAACTTTGGTACGAGTAGACTCTTGTTGTACAAATGAAACAACATTCCCACACTTTATTTTCTTCAGATGCTACGACATTTGGGTATTTATTACAACCAACACTCTCTTCAGGAAAAATGGGGGTCACTTCTTGTAACTCGACCCTGCAGATGGTCATTTCTCTTCTTTTTTGGCAAATGTTATGGGTCCTTCAACTATTATTAGTGGCTGCTGTAGTAGGTTCGTTTTTAGAATTATTTTTGATTCAATCTTTTTTACTCAGAAGACTCAAATACTGAAACTCTCCTGAAACAGCTATTCAATACGACTTATGATGTTGATATGAAGCCATCAGATGATCTGACGGTGGTCACGATCACTCCTAACACTTTTATATTACTTTCCATGGATCAGACACAAGAAACGATTCAATATTCTGAAGAATTTCTACTGGTAGTATAATTTTTTAATTGTTTTCTTTTGTGAAGGACTGATTCAGAAATGGTTTGACCCGATTCTCTACTGGAATAAATCAGAAGTGGCATATGATAAAGATTGGGTTAAAATTGAAGCTAGTAAAGCATGGATTCCAGATGTAATTATAACAAATGCGTAAGGTTTCAATTTTTGTAACATACAGAGTTCCGAATTTCAGCATATCCATTGACGAACTGCTTGATAAAGATCTGCAAATGGCTGATTTGCACTACGATGGAATAATCAGAACGAGTCTTCCTGCTGTTGTTAGCTCACCGTGTCCACTGAAAATCGAAAACTTCCCATACGATGTTCAGAAATGCAATATCTCAATGGGATCGTGGAGTTTTGACAGAGATTTCGTTGCTGTCAATTCATCTGTAGAGACATTATGGCCACAGAAAGGAAGGATTGAGGTCTTGAATCTGAAAGAGAAAGGTCTAGAATTTTAATTTCAGGGAAACAGTGAATGGGAGCTAATTTCTATAACCACAGTGAGGTCGGATAATTATGACACATTACTGGTGGGTTACAAGATCAAATAAAAGTTCAAGATGTGTATTTAGGAAAGTTGGTTTTCTGAAATTACTTACATAGTGACCCTAAAAAGGAAACCGGTGTACTATGTGTTAGTTATCCAAGCACCTACATTCATACTTTGTACTATTACAATTTTTGGTCTGTTCACACCGAATAGCAATGAAGATGAGCGACTTTCAAAGGTTTGCAACATACCGGAAACACTCCAATAAAAGACCACCCGAACCGTCAACGTTGAGCCCATATATCTCTTCCTGTAAAAGATCTTAAAAAGTGTTAAACTGACAAAAGGTTTATCATGATATCAATAATATTTCATCAATTGATCTCTTTTTGATATCTTTCACAGAAACCGAGATAAATAAGATTAAAGTTGACGATTTGGGTGGGCTTCTGTTAGAGCAAATACGGTACACTAATTATTATTAACGGAGTTTCTTCTTTCAGGTAGAATTATGTTTGAACATGTTTGCTGCTATTTCTATGATGCTCCAACTTGTGTCCGATATGATGCCAAAAGCATCTCGTCTTCCTCTTTTAGGTGACCCACTCTATTTTTGTTTCCGTCGTAAGCCCTCCTTGCAGGCAATTACATCATCGCGGAAGTGTTCGTCGTAACCGCAGCAACCATTGCTGCTATTGTCATTCAGCAGGTCCACCACCACGTGCACACAAGTGCTATACGACCTCCGAATTGGTGAATAGGCTTATGACTTTTTTAATGGGCTTTCTCCCTATTTTGTAGGTTGCGTTGCCTAGTGTTGTGTGATTGCAAACAAAGACTTGACTCGGTCTCTGAAGCGAGCACCACAAGCAGTGTGGAGGTTCCAGAGCAGACGATTCAATCATTCACTATTCTGAAGACCTCTCTTCACCAAGTAAATAACATGACATACTTCTCATATTCATTCGTTTTTTTCTTTTCATTCAGACCGCAATCCTAGTTCGTGACACTCTACAACGGATGTCATCTGTCAGCGAAAACCAACTGTTGTGGCTGAAAATTCTCGACAAAACCGACTTATTGTGTCTTGTTCTTTTTCAAATCGCAAATATTGTAGTCACTGTTGTCTTTTGGAGATAAAATTTGAGAAAGTTGACTAGTTTTAATAAAACATGACGTTTTTTCCTTTTCTGAACTTCAAAAATATGCTATTGTGTGTTCGATTTTTTTCAGTTTTGTGATTAAGGCTTCCATTCGGTCGGGAAATTTAGCCGACCGACAGCCGACCGTTTTCGTGCATTTACGCGTCAACGTGTTTGCATCGCTGCATTGTATTTTACGACAAATTACTCACTAAAAGACTCGTTTGTCGTAAAATAAAGTGCTTCGCACGCAAAAATTCGTGTTTTTTTGCGCAAAGGCACGAAATCGGTCGGAGCGCCGACCGATCGGTCAGCTCGGTCGGCTGTCGGTCGGCTGGGTCGGTGGTCGGTCGGCGATTTTCGACTGACCGAAATGGAAGCCTTATTTGTGATTTTGATCCTTAATCTAGTCTTTTATGCTTCATTCGTAGCAAAGGGTGCTCGAAGTATCGCGAAATTCGAATAGTTTTTGCAAGCCTACCGTAGGATTCTTCAAAGGCGCATCTCTAAATTGTGCATTCGCTGTGCGGTCAGAAGAAAGTTTTGAGCTTGCGCCTTTTGAAAAATCATACGGTTCATAAAACGTTTGAAAACTGCAAATTTTTTGCGGAATATCAACTTCTGACTCGAAGTTACGATGCGGTGTATGGCTGCCTCAAGATTTTTAGTACATAATAATTCGTGAGAGCTTACACCTTTTCTCTGCCCGGCGGTCTCTTCTTCATTTCTGTCACTTTCGCGACGACCTTCGTTTTCTTCCATTGCACTCACTTCTCTACTTCTTCTTCTTCTTCATCTTTTCCCCTATTTTTCTTCTCCTTTTCACAAACTTTCTCTGTCGCCCCGCGTGAAATTGAATTGGCTTTCGCATGTCGCTGAGCAAGGCAGAGAACGCGCGAAAAAGAGCATTGACATGAATGTTATATCACTCCCGCTACTCCTTTATTTGTGTGTCTCCAAATACCGCTTCTTCCATTGGTTGTGTTGTTTTACGTGTTGAAATTCAAGCAAATATTTACTAAAACAAGAAGAAGACCAGAGATTTCTCATGAGCTTCTGAAACAATGCCGCACCCCGCTGCTTTGCTCATTGAAATTCGTCTCTTGTGCAGCGACGTCAGGCAACGTCTTCAAGAAAGTGGAGAGTCCCAAGAGGAAAAAAAAAGAAAAAAGTATACACCACATACTAAAAGTTTGCTTTAAACGTCGACCTAAATTTCGGCAGTTTTGGATTCAAATCCGCCAATTTGAAGGAATACCCAAATATTTTTCTCCAATTCGCTATTTTCTCTCTTTTTCCAAATTCAACTTTTCTCACGCTCTGATGCATTCCGACTAGTTTTTTTCACATCCTACTCAACCTATTCTCCTTTTTCATCATCAATTCGAACCGATAAAAAAATCGGATTTTTAATTGTCGTTTTTTGAAGATGCAAAGACACGAAGACATCAAACAGGTGTTGTGTTTATGTTAGGCGGATATCGATACATCTTACTCACACTCAACAAATCAAGACACTGGACAACAAAACAAAAGAGATATGCTTTCCCTTTCGTTGTATTAATATGATACGAGAAAGAGATTAATCTTTGAATGTTCTTTTTGGTTTTTGTTCTCTATTTTTCTTCAGGGATGTTTGGAACGGAATTCTGAATTCCGAAAAATTTCCGATAAATGAGCATTTTCGGTGTGAAATTCCAAGAAAAAAAAATTGCTGACGGAACATTTCCGAAGCGTTTTTTCGGAATATCTCGGATTTCTTTTTCGGAATCAAAGATTTTTGAACTACGATATTTTACAGGCGCACGCTAAAAGTTTCTTTGCGGGTATCGAGCGGAATTACTTTAATTTTTTCGCGTTTTTGAAATCTTTTTGTACAAAAAGAACAAAATTGTGTGAATATTTCTCCAATTTTCGGTTTTTTTGTGTTGGGAAAATGGGATTTCTATTTACATTAGAATTTGTTCGAAATTCTGAAATAGTTAAAATCGAAATATTCCGAAAATCCGAAGTTCTAAACTCGGATTTTTCGATATTTCGAAAAATTCCTGTTTTTATTTTGAGCAAAGGACAAAAAAAACGATAGAGGTGGTTCAGAAGTGGCCACTAGATTCTCCTCTTTAAAAATTTGAAGTACTACATTTTGTACTTCAGAATTATTTTCTCCACCAAATCTTTATGCAGTTTCTTCTTAACGTTTAATGGAAATTTACGACTTCGTGCTGTTGGGATGTGCTTCCTCCTCTTCGTCTTCTTTTTTCGTCTCCCCTAGTTTTCTCTCATTTCAGCTCGATTGTCATGCCGCTTGGGGTCTCCCCACATGTTCCGCTGCCATCTCTCCTCTTCCTTCCTCTTCTTTACTCCGGAGACTTTTTTCTTCTTATTTTGCTTTACTTCGTCCTTCTCTCTTCTCTTCTTGCTTGTTTCGCTTGTTTTCCACCACGTAGATAATAGACAACACTGCAAAAGAGTTGTGGGTACTACTTGACATAGAATGCCATTCGACCCATCCTCCCCGTTTTCTCTTCCCTTCCTGTTCTTCGATCTGTCCCCCCATCTCTCAATCACCTTTGATAGACTGTGACAAGTTTCGAAAAACGCGATGTAATTCGACCCAACCTACTTTCGAAGGCTAATAAAATGACCTCGAAACTGTCTCGATCGATACTTTTGTTGCCATCGCTTTCACTTTTTTGTATCCATTTCTGGTCACTCTCTGTGTCTATTTTCCCCATAGACACATAATTTTGGTTGTTTACCTACCTACCTACTCTGCTTTATTCAAATATATTGTACACATATTTTTCTTCTTCAGATCAAACGATGCGGTTCCTCGTAGTGTTCGTCTGCTTGTTCGCCGTGTCCGCAGCTCTCAACTGTTACATCTGTAACAGCTTGGCTCAACCGGATTGTACAACTAACTACCAATCATTCAACAAGGTAAAACCGAACGATTTTAATATGAGAGTCTCATCGATGTTTGGATTGGCAGTTTCGAAATTTCTGGTCTTAGAAATCCGACTTTCCGACAAAAGCGCGAAAAATTGATGAAAAATTGACAAACAGGTTTCAAGAACGCAAAGAAAATTCTGCTCAAGACCCACAAGAAAACTTTTGGCTCTATCTGATTCCAGCGGTCCCTGGAGAAAATAACGGTCCGCAGTGAAAATTTTCTTTTTGGACCATTATTTTCCCTGCGGAACGCTATTTTCACTGCGGACCGCTTTTTTCACTGCGGACCGTTATTTTCTCTAGGGACCGCTGAAATCATATAGAGCCAAACTTTTCGCATGCGCCTTTAACATACCGTAGTCTAGAAAGCCCCAATTTCGAAAAAAAAGACATCGAAAATATTCCGGTCCGTATTTTCGGGTTTCTGAATTCTGTTCCAAACATCCCTGGAGAGTCTGGAAATATCAAAGAACTCTGACCACTATATTTGACACAGTAACTTTCGAAAGACCCATTGCTATCTTCCAGATATGCCCAGTCAAATCATTCGCCGGATTGAAAGCAGTGAAGCCAGTCGGATGCCGTGTTACCCGTCAATACGTCAACGGTGAGCTTTGGTGGTATATCTTCAAAAATCGTAGAGCGAACTTTCACTCTTTTTCTCCCCGAAATATCTTTAATTCTTCTCTCTTTTTGCTTTGACTCAAAGAAAAGCTTACTACTGGTGGGCAGTAGTTTTTCTGGGAGAAAACGAGAGAAACGACACAACTTTGCTTCCGGTTCTCGTGGAATTTGAAAAAAGAACGAATTTCTATTTTTTCCAGAAGAAACTTCGATCGTCAGAGAATGCGCTTACACTGGAGAGGATGTTGACAAGAAATCAAACAAGGTGAGGGCAGAACCTGCATTAAAAAAAATTAGCATTACAAAAACCTGGCAAAAATCAAAGCTGTGGAAGAAAAAAGCCGGTCGCCGTGGCCGAAGGTCCCACAACGAAAACTACCGTAATCTCAAATTTTTTTTTCTGGTTTTTTCATCTCGATTTTCATTGCTGTTCGTCGGGTTTTCTGTTATTATTCTCCCGAAAAAATCGGAAAATACATATTTCTGATAGTGAAAAAATTGACTGGAAACGCACAAAAATCGAGAAAATATTTCCGGAAAACAAACATATTTTTAGGTTACGGCATTCTTCTGTTCTGAGGACCCTCCGGAGGGCCCTTCAATTACAGGGGGCCCTTCTATTTTTCCAGACATTTTTTTCCGAAAATTTTTATCAAGAAATTAGGCGAATTTTCGTTCAAAATGCATAAAAATGAAAGAAAATAGGCTAATTTCATTAAAATTAGAAAAGTTGTTAAGAACAAAAACTATGTTTCAACGAATTTATCTGAAATTCCGGAATTACCGGAATATTTTTCACTAAAAACGTGCGGAAATTTTCAATTTCAAGAAACATATTATGAAGACGGCTTTCCAAGCCCCTTTCGGAGGGCCTTTCTATTAGAGGGGCCCTTCTAATACATGTTTTACGGTAATACCAGAACCTGAAAAAAAGATCATGGCATAAAAATTTTGATAATTCATGTTTGAACAGTAGAAAACAATTTAAAGGACCAAAATTTTTATTAATAGGTTGTTCAAAAAGTAATTTCGCGAATTTCAGTACTTTTTTCACTGTTATGTATTTTTGGAATTGTCAGTTTTTTGTTTAAAATTATAGGCTTAGGCTCAAATTCTTCTTATATTCTGTAAGAACGCCCACAAAAACTGCAGAAAATTTAAAAATGTTTTAAAATGTAGTCAAAGAGACTTTGTAGTCAAAGAGACAAGTGTAGTCAAAGAGATAAATGTAGTCAAAGAGACTTTGTAGTCAAAGAGAATGTGGAGTCAAAGAGATAAATGTAGTCAAAGAGACTTTGTAGTCAAAGAGAATGTGGAGTCAAAGAGATAAATGTAGTCAAAGAGACTTTGTAGTCAAAGAGTGGTGTAGTCAAAGAGTAATTGCCTTAATTTCAGGGATCCCTGGGAGTGTCTCGTGTTTACTCTCAATGCTCGGAAGCTCTCTGCAACTCTGCCAACTCATCTTTCCACTTCATCACTGCTGCCATCCTCGTCGCCGTCTACAAAATCTTCGCCTAAAAAACCAAAACCTCCCCGAATCAGATTGAATCAATACTCCAATAGAATTTTCCAATTACCTTTCACTCAACTCAAACATAACGCATGAAATGCATCTTTCATTTTTTTAGAGTTCCCCGCTTTTAGCCTCTACACATTTCACTTTTCCGTCCTCCTCTCCTCTTTCTATATGTGAATCCCCGTTTCTTCCCATCTTTCCGAAATCTGTTCAATGCTCATTAGATTCATTGCTAATCACTATCTTGTTCTGATGTTAGCATATATTTTGGGTATGCTGTCTGAATTACTTGATCGCATTTTTGGAATACTGCCTTCTCTGTCATACTCTTATAAATCATTATTCCTTATACTCTTTTGACCCCTTCCAAACACAAAAAATCAGCTAACTTGAGACTCGTGACTTAACAACAGAAGACCAAGAAGCTCATACCACGGTTTCCAGAAATATTTTCAATTAATTTTTTTTTCTCAAAAAATGGCATTAAAAGTGGTTCACCTGCTCAAAAACGGTAGGAAATCACCTGTTTTCCTCCAGAATTATAGGATTTCGCTCGTCGTCACTTGAGTTATTCTCACGTCTTCACGCCGTCATGGACGGTCTCTTATCGAGAAGTGGAAGGTAATTTTTCTAAAATTTGAATTTTTAGGCGATCGAAAAGTTCTGAATGATTAAATTCAATACCGTACACTTTGAGCTCAATTATCTCGAGGCCTGTGAAGGATTTCAAAAAGTGGTGAACTGATAAAATATGTATCATAACTTCACCAATATTTTATCAGTTGACAAACTTTTGATATCTTTTACAGGAAGCTAGATAATTGGGCTCAAAGTGAACGTCTAGGGTTGGATTCTATTAGAGCTCATTCTGTATTTTTTAAACTGTAATTATAACAAAAAATTTCAGTACTGGCAAAGACGCGGAAAAGACAAAAGATGGTTTGAAGGCTCTTGGAGATTTGATGAAACTTTCAGAAGCAGCGAAACAAAATGATACTGTTGGGTGAGGTGGTTGGAGTTGGGCTGTAGTTTCAGCTACCGTAACCACTATAATACGTCGCTTTTCTTTTTTCCGGAACCCTCAAAATCGAGGGGGGGGGGCCTATCCTTATTGAACGCGCTATAGAACGTCACAGTCAACTTGTGCTATAGAACGTCACAGTCAACTCAAAGTTTGAGTATAGGGTGGCCTTCTATCAGAGTGTTTATGGTAATCATCTTCATTGTTCCTTATGTTTTTTGAACCCGAGCCTAACGATAAAAGTTTTTTTTTCTGTAAAATTTAGAATAGGTTAATTTTGAACCCAAAAACTAGCCGGAGCCTCCCAACAATTGTCGGAATGAAGAAGGAGAAGTACAGTAATCTAACCGATCAAGTATAGAACGGAGAGTTTGGGACTCCAGTTTCCGTATTTCGTATTCCGATTCCGGATTTCGGGGTTTTTTTTCAAATCAATTGACAGTTTTCACATTACAGAGCCACTAATGCGCTGATCACTTTGACGCAAGACCTAATGAAGTATGCTCACAAAAATAATGAAACCACTCTTGAAGGAAAAGGAAAACATAACCACCATCATATCTGGGTAATTATGCTTCAAAATATAATCTAGAATTTTTTTTTGAATTGTAGCAATCTCAATCTACCAACAAAACAGATTCAATGGAGTACATGAATGACACCCAAACTTCTGCAAGTTCATGGAAAAGTAAACTTCAAGCATTTCTTCAAGTAAACAATGACTCGAATTCTACTGACTACGGTAACAACTACGCAGCTTCCTGGGGAGACTCAACAGGTTTTGGTAGTAATGAAGACAGTCAGCTACCCAACTTGTCTCTATTTGATTTTGGTTTGGGAGGAGGCTTGTTAGAACCTTTCGATTTGAACAAGGCTTACTCGCATAATACATTTATGAATGTATTTTGCACCGCCACTATGATTTCATTTGTGTATTATGTCCCAAGGATGATCTACTATCGTGCAAACAATCTTTCAAATGATAAAAAACACTCGTCATTTGTTCCAATATTCTTCTTGTCGCTGATTGCTATTTCTGGAGCAATAATTCACATTGCAAACTCTTATTAGTGAGTGTGGAACTGATGAATGTATATACTGTAAACACCCTACCAAACTAGTTTCAAACTTTTAACTTTGAGCCAGTTTATCTCTTTTTTTGTGAAAGATATCAAAAAATGGGGAACTGACAAAGTATTTCTGATAATATGATAAACTTATCAGATCTCTTTTTGATACCTCTTACATGAAACGAGATAAATTGATTCAAAAAGGAAAGTCAGGGACTCTATCTATTAGAGTTTTTACGGTAGGGAAACATTTGTCGTTTTTTCCGCATTCTGAAATTTTTCCAATAACAAAATAATCTTCCAGCTATGCAACTCATAACCCGTTAGCCGTAATGATGTCCGGTAATTTCTCTTTAGAAGATCTCTTCGCACCGCCGGACCATCTTACGCCAATGTTTTACAAAACGTTGACTGCTTCAATCAATCGTATCGTCTCTCCAATTGTTTCTTTGCTTTGTCTGCAACAAATTTCTACCCATTCTCAACACAATATTAATTTTTTGCAAAATCCGTCAGTGATTCCAGGTAATTTTCAAAATTTCTTAATCTGAATTTATTTTAGAATTGTTCAAATGATCTACTGTCTCATCAGTTCAGGAGTGGTTTTTGGGTATTCCTATTATGAGGAGAACGAATTTATGAATGCTTACGCTGACAGCGAGTATCCAGACCAAATTCATGTTAGTTTGGAAAGTTGAAAATATAAAATTTGGGTTTATAGGTCGATTTTTCTGATATAATCCCTCCTCTGATCACTGCATTCCTTTTCTTCTTCGCCAAACACACAATCTCCCGTCAATCTCTCTATACCACTGAAAAATATGGACCAAATGGACCGACAACTCTGGATAGAGTCTCCAAAGTCGTCGTATTCCAAACGGTATCGATTCTAAACAGAGATAAAAATAATTATCTTTAATTTCAGGTGATGGTATTCTTTGCACTTTGCGCCATTTTCTGGAGTCCATCCCGAGAAGAGGAATTGGCCCTGAGTCCATTAGCATCCACATGGTATTACTTCTTCATCACTGCTCAAACACCCGTTGTTCATATCGTCCTCTTCCGATCTCTTCTTCGCTCCCGTAAATCTACTCGTATCTGTTTTTTGGTTTGTTGCCATTCTGGAGAAAAGGTTGATGCAACTGCTGATAACGGTGTTGAGCTGAATCAACATCCTAAAATTAATGAGCCAAGTGAGAAGAATGATGAGAATCGAGATGAAGAGGATCAGAACGAAGAAGAAAATACCATGGAAACTTTGGATCACAACAAGATTGTAATCATCCCAGATGGGGCGTTGTTGGAGGGAAAACCTGAAGTCAAGGAAGCATAAATCTCATACCGTAAAACCTGTAATATAAGGGACAACTAACTTTGAACCAACTTATCTCAGTTCTTGTCAAAGATATAAGAAAAGTGTCAACTGATAAATTGTTTATCATAATATTGGAGACATTTTATCAGTTGACACATTCTTTATATTTTGCAATAGAATAGAGATAATTGGACTCGAACTTGTTACAGGTTTTACGGTAATTTATCTTGCAAATATTTTGGTCTGACACATATTTATTTTTGTCTTCATGAATATTCGGAATAAATATTTTCTGTGTTTCTCCCGGGTTTCCAATAGTCTCTGTTAAAAAAAATTATCTGGAAAGTACGAAATTGATAAAGAGCAACCTAAAAGGGATACATAGCTAATATTTTACCGTAGATCCTCTAATAGAAGCCCACAAAGATTGAGCTCAATTATCTCGATTTCTGTTAATGATATCAACATTTTGTCAACTGATAAGTAATTTTTCAAAATAACACCCATATTTTATCAGTTGATTAAATTTTGACATCTTCCACAGGAATCTAGATAATTGAGCTAAAATTCGACGGTTTGGGTGGGCATGTATTAAAGGAAGTACGGTAATTCAAGCTCATTATAAAAACGGAGTGCTTTCCGAACTGACTATGTACTTTGTATTCACAGCTTTCTTTAAACTTCCTTGTGGTTACCGTAATCCAGTTTCAGAGTCCAAGTCATATGACACCCCCTGGAACTTTAAAAATTCAGGCGGGTTTCTAATTCTTTGACATGAAAACTTCTGAAATTCAAATAAAAATTCAGCTGCTTATAATGAGAAAATTCTGACGATGGAGTTGATGTAATTCTTAATGTCAACCAAGTTCAATTTTCCTAATTTTTTTTCAGTTGCATTCTGATTCTGAAACTGAACCATGTTTGACAATTCTTCGATTTTGAACTTGTGAGTTATTTGTTTTGATTGTCCGGATTTAATATTTTGATTTTCATTGATGTTCGTCGAGTTTTCTGTTATTTTTCTCTAAAAAATTCTCAAAATACAAAAACTTTCAGTCACTTTTTTCGTTATCAAAATTTTTTATTTTCCGACGTTTTTTTAAAGGAAAAATAACAGAAAACGCGACGAAAAGCAGTGAAAAACGAAAAAATAAATACGGAAAATGAAAATATTTCTAGGTTAAGGTAGTTGTCGTTTTTTGTACCAGAATCACATGTTTTAGACTGAATGCTAACTTAAAACGATTGGAAGAGGCTGAAAGACTTTCAAACTACACGGATGGAGTAAGTCTAACAATTCAGTTACAATAGGAATATAACTTTATTTCAAAAGGTTTTGGATTATTCTAATCAAACTCTGGAAGATTTCGGATATGAAGAAAACAATACTACATTAGAGGATTCAATGGCAATACTTGAATATTTATTTGCTAATGTATCATCTGAAGATGTCGATAATTCCACCAACCAAACAATAAACTTGAACGAAAAGTATATACATAGCTCTACAGCCATGACAGCTGCCTATATTGTCTTGATTACTTTTATATTCTATGTTCCACGGATTATCTATTATAGACTCAGTCGATTCTCTAAGGATCGCCAGCTTCCTGGCTACTTTCTTTTGTGGTATCTTTCTTTGATTCCATGTATTGCTGGGTGCATTCATTTTTCTTGTTACCAAGTGTTAGTTTATTTTTGATCCGTTAAAAATCATTCGAAACCTCTTTCAGATTTGTCAGTGGAACTCCGGAACTCCATCCTGATACGTTTGAGGATCAAGTTTACAGTTACTACCTTCTGAAATCAGCAGCGTTTTCCATAAATCGTCTTGTTGCTCCGATCGTTGCGATTTTGTGTATTCAACAAATAGCAACTCACACTCAGTGGAATATTACGATTTTCCAAGAGACGTAAAGATGGGAAACATACTGATAAACCGGGTCCTTGGGGGGCCTTCGTGGGCCCTGTCATAGTTTTTTTAGAATCAATATTTTTGTGCCAACTGAATCAGATATTATAGAACTTGACGAGTATTAAAAATAATATGTTTTGAAAAAAGATATCTAGTCTATGAACACAGTTACAGAAGAAACGGGCTGAGAAAACTATTCAGGTCTTGGCCCGGACCTTTTATTGCTTGTAACTTTGGTTCCTATCATATCTAATTTAGTTGGTCTGAAAATATTGATTCTGAAAGAAACTATGGCAGGGACCGCGTAGACCCGTCAAGAGTCCGGTTTACAAACATGTTGTGCAATGAAATACAAATTGAAAATATAATTTTCAGTGCTGTTCATATGATCTTGTGCTTGTTTGTAACGATTTTTGTTGCCGGATACACTTTTGGTCGGGAATATTTTCTTATGCGATCGCTCGATAGTTCCAGTACAATTTACCCTGACCATATTCATGTAAGCTTGGAAAAATGGAATAGGCATCAAAAATGAATTTCAGTTGGACCTTTTCGACTTGATTTCTCCTGCGATAACAGTAGTTTTGTTTTGGTTCGCGAGACAAAATCTTGAAAGACAATCAGTCTACTCACTAGAGAGATGCGGTCCAAATGATCCTTCAATTCTAGATCGGATTTCCAAAATTTCAGTTTTTCATGGGGTAAGTTTAAGTTGAAAACCTTTGAATTTTTGTGTCAATACTGGTATTCCAGGTAATGCTGATCTTCACAATTGGTGGGATATTAATGGCTCCTTCTGAGCGAGATGAACTCAAGGCGGATCCGAGTGACGGACACACTTCAATATTTTTCATAAGTGCTCAAACACCCTTCGTGCATTGGGTTCTCCTTCGATCTCTTCTTCGGAGCAAGAAACCAACTCGCTTGTGTTTCTTGTTTTGTTTCGGAGACGGAGAGAAAGTTGCCCCTGCTCCGGATGATGTGGAAATGGGAGATCGGAGAGCAGGAAATAAGAATAGGAATCAGAAAACGGAAGAAGAGGAAGAAGACGATGATGATGAACCAGAGACATTGGATGCCAATAAGATTGTGATTCTACCCGAGAGCCAGGCTGAGGAAATTATCAGAAGAGAAGCGATGGAGGTCATCGAAGTGAGAGAATTCAAACCCGAAGAAGATATTCAGGAAGAACAAGATTCTGAGACTAGTAATTTAGAGGATCGTCTAGCAACTCCCGTACCGAACAGTAATCCTAATGGAATTACAGACAATTGACCACCGGCAAGAAACAATAATACATCATCTAAACCCTTCGCACAAATAATAAATCAATTATTTATTGACCCGGATTATTGATTAGTAGGAAAAAAGTTGAGCTCAAAAATCTCAAATCTTGCATTCTTCCTTTCCTCGCCTCTTGCTCTTTTCCGTCACAAATCTAGCAGAATACTTCTTTTTCTTCGCGTCTGGTTTCTGAATCTTCCCTTGTCCTTCTAAATCAGTGCACAATTTGTTAGTCTGATGGAATTGGCGAGCGTCACAGAGATATCCATTACGGCAATCTTGAGTGTCACATGGATGGAGACCGTCATACTGCGAACGACGGTAGTGATTCCTTCAAGAACTTAGATTTCGACTATTTGAGAAAATATAGTCTTACTCGTAATACTTATTGAAAAGAGTTGTGTCTGTCTTCATTCTCTCGATCATTTGATTATATTCATCGGGGGTCTGTCCCTTTAATCCATATTCTGCATTGGCACTCTTATACAATTGCTCCCACACAACATTCTTTGGATTCGCATTGTTAGAAGTCAAATTGAAAAACCATTCTTCGTAATCAATCACTTGCTGAAATAAGAATTTTTCTCCTTTGAATCGAAAAAAGTTAAGTTACATAAGTGGATCCCTTGTAAACACCATCGATAGTGTATATTCTGTATGCAGGGAAGAAATCAGAATACGGAGTTACAGATGGAGCCGAGTAAACCACACTAAAATCATTAGTATGAAATAAGGTATTATTTTTGAAAAATCGAACTTATTTGGTGTAGATTTGTAGTCATCTGGATTCTCATACATCATGTAGAACTTTTCAGAATGGGTGTGTCCGAAGAACTGACCGACAACAGTGTTAGTGAATCTGAAAATTGCAATCAGTGTGTGATTTTGGTTACTTCCAAACGACTTTTCTAAAAAAATTGTTTTAATATATTTTTTAACTTTTTGGAATGAATTTTCGAAAATCACAGTCCGGTTTCATGTCAATTAGTATAGTGACCCAACTTTCTCAAAATTATTCTTCTAGGCCACCGTAGTGGATGGTCCAGAAACGGTTTAACCGACTTTTGTGGCCCAGAAATTACCTGATATTCATTTAGTGGGGTTTCTAGGCCACCATGGTGAATGGCCTAGAAAACAGACAAAGTGAGTTTCATGTCCTTTCGAAGCCGCAAGAGTAGATGGCCTAGAAAAATACACTTCCAAAAGTTAGGTCACCATGTTGGAATAACCTAGAAGCCCAGTTTAGTGGTTCGAACTAATGTTCGAATGCTATTTTCGAAACTAAACAGTCGTTTTCGAATAATGTCTCTCCAAATAAACATATTGCTTGCAATCGTATACACATTTTTTAAAAAGAAAAATGTACCGATTAATAATTTTATAGTAGTTGAGTGCATATCCTTCAAGTGCTTCTCCGTCCGATCCTGGAATATGGGCAACAATGTGAACTTTGTCTCCAACATTTTCCGCATCTTGGAGTTGATTGATTAGCCATTGGAGCGTGCCGTCTGGATCAGTCTGATTAATGTAGAGCCAGCTGGAAATTTCTATTTCGATGAGGATACTCAGAAAACGTCTTACAAGTTGATGCGATCTCCATAGACATTGTTAAGAGAAATGAGACGAAGACCATCGTAGATTTTCTTCATGTAACACCCGTTGCTGAAATTCATTTTTATCTGTTTTATTCTCTTTCCCTTATTTACTATTCCAAAGTTTTCTCCTGATCAGCCGGAATCCATCCTTGCCATGCGTTGGACATAGTCTTGTAAAGCCAATCCATATGATATTTTTTCGGTGTGAAATGTGGAGCAATGCTAGAAACAAATGGAAATTTCGCTGATTAGAGAACTCGAGTCTTTTTGCTCACTTATCAACAGGTACTCCTTCATGATTTCCAACTGCAAAATAGACTGGAGTTGTTGGGAAATACGAGCGAATGGTATCGGAAAGGTTTTTGACCATGAATGAATGAGTTTCTGGTGTGTATGCCCAAACAGTATGAGAAACCAGGTCTCCAGAAACCATAACATAGTCGATAGGTCCCGCGGAGCTGGCAATGTGTTCCAACATGTTGGTGAGCAACCAATAAGGCGTATCACAGGATCCTACTGTACCCCATGGTCCAGCTGCTTGCTTCACTGCTCCATTCTCCACTATTTCCTGGAAACATTTATTTTTTTCACTGTCATTTTTAAAAACAACAAGTAGCAACACCATAAAATGTCATTCGCTCAATGGAAATTCAGATTCCTTCTTTTTTGATAACGAAGTTCGACCTTTAGCCTATTCGAAGTAATAAAACATACGACATTCATATCTTGTGGACGACAACATTGTGGAGTTTCGCATTGTGCTTCGAGTCCGGGTGTATAGAACATGTCAACATGAAGATCGGTCAAGTGGAGAGCACGGAGAGTTGGGTTGCCGGTCTGAAAGATTACGGTACTTCAGCTTCCCGTTTAGCTTGAAATGTATCTCTGAGAAATATTAAAAACTTACAGGAACGACATTCTTTGGAACATAGGCAGGCTGGTTTCCTGGAATCGTCATGTTCCAAATTTCAGCCAATGGATCGACGAAATCTCCACAATCTGAAAGACAGCAATACTTAAATGAAACAGAAAAAAATCTTACTGTTTTTCATGATGAATCCGCACAACTGATGTGGAGTGAGACAACCTTGGAGACAACATACATAAACTCGTCCTGGAAATACCAAAAGTTAAGAGGGTTCCTATTTGTAAAAACTCACCGAGAAATCCGAAATGATAAAGTTACAGACATCATTGTCTTCAATATGGAAATTCTCACAAATGAATACAGCAATCTCCATAACACATTCTTCTGTTTTCTTCTCTCCCCATTCAAATTGCAAAAGATCCACAATAGTCTTACATTCTTCGCAATCAGTGGCAGCTATTACTGTCCCTGAAAAACAAGGTGTATTAAAAACATCAAACCTACAGGAGCTATCATACCCTGAAACGCGAGGGAAAGAACAAGAAGACCGAGAAGCATGGGTCGAGTTGTCTTGCAATAATGCGGGTCGTTTCTGATGTTAGGATGGATGGGGAGACAATTTCCAGTAACAACTGATAAACACAAAGAGAAGCACATGGCGCTGACACGTTGATTGGTGCACTGGTTTCTGATCGAAGTTTGATAAGAAGACAGGGAAACTACAATCTATAAATTCTCGGAGAGGAAACAAGCTGAAAAGAGTTTTTGATTACCGTATTTTCCCTAACAGAGGTCGATTTTCTTCTATTTTCAACTTACTTCTCACAATCAGAGAGGCAGAAAATTACAAAGTAAGAATATGTCTTCAATAAATAACAGAGATAGCGAACTGTACAGCCATGTGCTTCTATTAGAGAAAATACGGTATTTTCTTTGAACGCGGAAATGAAAAACGTCGGAGGGCAAATTAGAAAATTCAGGAGACGTGCGAATGACAACGACATACAGGGTGGCGCATAATTATCTGTGGTTAAGATCGTACTAGCATAAGACTTGAGTAAAGCGTTGTATTGGGCACTAATTTGGATCGCTAAAACATCAGGAAACTGGAAAATTTCAAATTATTAGAAACATTTTGCTGTTCATTTTTGGACAATCATACCAATACCCAGACTTGAGGAATAGATTTAAAATTTTCAGTAGCTTTGAGTCAAACGTAAAATTATATTTCTACCAACTTTTGTGTTTTCAGAATGCTGATGTCGTGCTAATTGACTTTTGAACCTGGACGATAGCTATGCCTTCCTTTCTGCAAAGACAAACTATCTGGACTCCTTCCTTCCAAAACAATAGATTTTGCAGTAATCTTCTTCTCCGTTTTTCGGTATTTAACTTATGCAAATCATTTTTCTCCCCATAGCATATAAACCGATCATGTTGTGTGTTCTTTTCTTGGTTTCTGATAAAATCAATGTGTTTTCATCACTTCAAAAAGCTTTTTTTTTCCATATTTGCTTCAAAACCGTTTAGACCTTATTCAAAAAGGTATTTTCAGAATGAGAGAAAACCGACTATTGGTTTTCACTTTAGCTGCAGTTGGTACCGGATTCATTTGTGGTCTTCTTTTGAGACAGTTTAATTTTTCTGACGATGTCAGGAATTTAATTGGATTCCCAGGAGAAATATTCATGCAAGTTCTCAAATTGATGATTCTGCCCCTGATTTTTTCTTCATTAATTTCCTGTTAGTTTCTTGAACATGTATTAGACTCCAATCGAATTTTGAATTCCAGCTCTCGGCCAGATGGATGGTTCAAAATCAGGAAAAATGAGTTGCATAGCAATTGCATATTATTTGACAACCGCAATAATTGCGAGCTGTATTGCCGTCACAATAGTTTTCTTGTTTCATCCGGGAAATCCTGAAATTAAAAAAGGGAATCTCAACGAAGCCATTGTCGAAGGAGACAGTAGTTTATCTGCTCTAGACTCTCTTTTGGATTTACTGAGAAACATGTTCCCACAAAACATCGTCGAAGCAACGATGTATAGATCTCAAACGGCTTTGGTGGTCGTACGGAAGAAAATTGTCAAAAATGGAACTATTGATGAGCCAGTTCTGTTGAAGAAAACTATCAAGCTAACTCAAGGAACCAATATTCTCGGTGAATGAATTACTTTTTTCGCTCTAATAGAAGCCCACCCTATACGTGCACTTTGAGCTCACCTATCTCGGTTCATATGACAGATACCGTAAAAACTCTATTAGATAGCCATGTCACTCTATTGTTCGGGATGGTCTGGGTGGCACTATATTAGGGGCTGGCACTTTATTGTTCGGTGCCAATTACCTACTGAAACTCATCAGGAACATACTATATTTTCAACTCTTTCTTAAGATTTCTTTCGATTTTTTATATTTTTCTACTTCTTTTCCAGAGTCTGCCTAACTTTCGGAGTCTGATATCACCCTGAAAGATCTTTGGCAAGTACAGTACCTTTTTCAAATCAGCAGTTACATTAGGGGCTGGCACTCTATTGTTCAGAGGTGCTCTGGGATGGCACTTTATTAGAGGCTGGCATTCAATTAGGGGTGGCTATCTAATAGAGTTTTCACGGTATCGAAATTTGGTTAACTGACAAAATGTTTATCATAACACGAAAAATATTTTGTCAATTTACCACCTTTTGATATCTTTTACAAGAAACGAGATAATTCAATTAATGTTAAACGTTTTGGTGGCTCTCTATTAGAGGTGTTTACGATATATTCGCCGCTACTAATTCGTTATGTCTTTTCAGGATTGATTGTGTTTTGCACTGGATTTGGTATAATAATTTCCAAACTAGGTGGTAAAGTACAAGTGATTGTTGAATTCTTTATCGTTCTCGATAAAGTTGTCATGAAATTTATCACGGTTCTCATGTGGTTTTCTCCATTCGGAATTGTCAGTTTGATTGCTTCCAGTATTCTGGATATTGACGATATGTATAAAATGATGACGGCCATGGCTTTGTAAGTAATGTGCTTGGAAACCTCACCACAATATATTTCCAGATATTTGTTCACTGTCCTGACATGTCTATTTCTACACTGTGTCGTTGCTATTCCATCTCTTTATCACCTCTTGACAAAAAAGAATCCAATCAATGTGGCAAAAGGCATGGCTCAACCATTTGTCACTGCTATTGGAACTGCTTCCAGGTGATTTGAGAACTTTATTGAACATGTGAAAATATAAATCAATTCAGTGGAGCATCGTTACCCCAAGCGATTAGCTGTGTAGAAGAAAATCTGAAAGTGGATTCAAGGATAGCTGGATTCATTATGCCTCTTGGGAACACTATAAATATGGATGGGACTGCTCTTTATGAAGCAGTTGCCGTTATTTTCATTGCTCAGCTAAATAGCGTATCTCTATCTTTTGCTCAAGTTATCACAATCTGGTAAGATCGGACTAACAGAATACCGTAAGACTTGTATTAGAACGGCCGGATCTTCTATTGTTGTTAGTTATCTCCGCAGGGCCAATCTATTACAGGAGCACTTCAATTAGAGGAATCCTTATTCCGAAAATTTTCATAGTGAAATTCGGTTAATTCTAATTCAAAATTCTTTAAAATCTAACAATTTCACCGAAATTGAGCAAGTTTCTGAACAAAAAAGGGTGGATTTCCTTTAATTACAGGGTCCTTTCTATTAAAAGAGTCCTTCTAGTACAAGTGCTACGGTAAGTTAAATTCTGGAAACGTTTTCAGCGTTACTGCAACATTTTCCTCGATTGGATTGAATGCCGTTCCAGCAGGTCTCGTCTCGATGTTTTTAATTTTGTCGACAGTCAATCTTCCCGTTTCGGATATCTCACTTCTTTTCACTGTGGACTGGCTGATGTGAGTCGTTCTTTTTCAGTGTGCCCCTAACTTTGTTATTTCAGTGACCGTATTCGTACTGCTCTGAATGTGTTGGGTGATTCGTACTGCGCGTGTGTTATCCAGCATTTTATGCAGGTTAAAACAATTTAATTAAAGTATCAAAACCCAGAACAGTTTCAGAAAGATCTCGAAAAAGAAAGCCATTCTCTTTTGGAGGATATAAAAATCGAAGAAGGAACTTTAGAAAATGTGAATCGACCCAATAACTCAACCGAAAGAATGGAAAAGAAGGTATGAAAAATTTTGTGGATGAATAATTTATAGCTCATGCTTTAGGTATCATTTGTGGATTATCATCATATTCCATCTCCAACAGCACCACGAGAATTCAATTCCACAAAAACTTACTCATTGAAATCTGCTATGATTGGACCTTTAAGAGCACATGTTGTTCTTCAAACTCGTTTATCTCATTTGTCTGAAGAATAAATTTTTACAAATTATTCATGGAAAATATCATTGGCCTCAAATTTATTTTTAAAAAATTAAGTTGTGGAAACTTAATAAGCCAGGTCTTGACTTATGGTACTTTTATTATACATCGATTAAAAATAAACAAACACTCAAGTGTCGAAATATACTTACTATTAGAATGATCCTTTTTATTTGAAATTTTCCCGATACAGTAGTCCTGTTCATTTCATCATATTCTGCCTACAGTAATCCTTTTAAATTTTGATTTTTCCCTACAGTAATTCTTATCATTAGAGGAATAGTTGAAGAGAAATAGGCAGAGGAGTAGGATTGTACAATAATTAGATTCATAGGGCGACGAGGGGAGGAAGAATATTTGACATGTGCATTTAGGTTAGGAAAGTAGGCGGCGCCGTTTAAAAATTTCCTAAACGATTCATATCATTCGTGCGTCGTTCAGCGTTCTATGAAGATAGTTCGAAAGTTTAAATTCCTTCTTCAATGATGATAATATCGGAGGATGATCTTGCTGGCGAACAACATCATTTTTTCGGATATAAGTTAGAAGTAGGCAGCTTAGAAGAGTCGGATCGAACGAATAAGGAAAACGGATCGATGCAAAAAAGCACTTTGGGATAGGAACGCTTAACTTCCTGCAGAATAAAGTGCCTAAAAGTGTTTACTCACAGTTCCATCTTCTTCATTCCTTCAATATGCTCCTTTTCGCTTGCTTTGAAACTTTGATCTTGGTTTCAATTAATAAAGTCTTTCTTGAAAATCTTTTGTTTTTGACACCTTAAGATGTTAATTTTCTTATTCTAATCTTCTGATAATAGTTCTCATCAAACAAAAACTATTTCGTTTCGTGTTAATGCTCAGATTACAAGGGAACCCATTGAGGTGACTAGCTGATTTGCCATAACGAACTACCGTACTTCTTCTAATAGAAGCCCATCCAAACCGTCAACTTTGAGCTCAATCATCTCGATTTCTGTGAACGGTATGAAAATCGTGTTGACTGATAAATAGTTTACCATAATCTAACCGATATTTCATCAATTAACAATTTTTTGATACCTCTCATAGGAATCGAGATGATTGAGCTCAAAGTTGATAGTTTGTGTGGGCTTCTACTAGAGGTAATATGGCATACAGGCTGAAAGAAAGTCTTTCAGAACCTATGAATCCGTTTTCGTATTGTTGAACAACTTCTGAAATTCTGAAAGTTGGTGGAAATGTTAGATGCAAATATTTAAATCATTGGATTAGGATATCCGGATTGGATCCATTTCGTTTAAATCTAGTACTAGCCCTTTTTAGAAACGTGCGTAGTCTCCCACATTTTTTCTTCATGAACTCAGTGGACGTTTCTTAGTTTCGAGATGATATCACCTCGTTTTTTTTCCCGATCAGTTTCATCTATTTTCAGAAAGTTAAGTGACCGGATTACGGTATTTGAAGATGATCCATGTGTTTTCCGAAAAAAAAAACGTTTTTTAGAGATTTTTGAACACTCATTTCTGCAAAACGTTGGGTTATGTGCCAAACGATATTTATTTATATAAGTGTCAGATTACTTTCTGATATTGATAAATACGAATGAATTGGTTCACACAATTCTTGCTTATTCTTTTTCGTTCAATTTTTGTTGAATAATATTCTCCGGGGTCTCCAAAACTAGTCATGTTCTGTTTCTTATAATTTAGCCGTTCAATCCGCTGAGCTAAAATAATCATACATTTTTCGATAGTAAGAAAAACGAAAAATTCTTTTTTTCAGGAATACTAGATCCTATGCCTACAGAATAACAGTTTGCATTTTCCTCTAAAAATAATTTTTCGAGATAATAAATTAATTTTCGGTCTCATTACTCAGAAAATACAGGGTGGCGCACAATTACCCAGACGGATATATCTTTAGACATGAGTATCTTGGAAGCACGAAAATTGCTAGAAATATAATCTTACGTTTCATTCAAAGCTACTGGAATGTTCAAAAAGGATATACCAAGTCTAGGTATTATTATGGTTGTCCAAAGATATCGTTTGGATTTTCATGAGATGTTGATCAAATAATTTGAACTTCGGCCAGTTTAATGTTGGATTATTTAAATTTTCGTTGTACATGGATTTACTCAAATTTTATGCTTCTACAAACTTGAGTCCGGGTAATTATGCGCCACCGTGTAAATGTGAATCAAAAATATTTGAACTATAAGTCCTGCTTAATTGTAATATCAAAATCTCAGAAAATCTTTCAGCTCATTTTTTCTAATTATGATTTCCAAAAAAAAATATCACAAAAGGGAATCATGTGTACTCGCTAGATTCTAGACATACTTCCGAGTCAATATGAATATTTCCTCTTTTTTTAACTCTTGATCTTTTTTTCCCAATTCAACCACCCTCATCCATAGTCCTCGTGTCTTTTTGACACCATTCTTGAAACCTGAGATTGTTTAATTTTTATTCAAAAAAGGAGCCAAGAAGCTAACAAAACATGCATTTACATTTCTCAAGAAAAATGAGAAAAGAATAAAGTGTCTTCGTTGTTCTGTTTAAAAACCGAAACAATTAGGTTTGAAATTAGTACATGTCTTCTCTCTTCGAACTTGGAACTGAGCTCAAAACTCATTCAGAACTTTGGCTCTTGAAAGTTATTTTTCCAGATTACCGAGGAACCTTTTTTTTGCTTTTGGGCTAGTTCTCGAACAAATAACTACTGATTATATGATGTATCGAAGCATATTGTGATAATGTATGAAAGCATATATTGATTTTTTGAGTTTTTAATATACAAAATGGCTGCAGACAAAAAAATGCCATCTTGAATTAATTTCTTTAAGCTTTACAAGTGTTTTGCACCAAAACGACACAATTTTGCTTACTATTCAAGTCTAGGAGGAATAAGTGCTGAAATAGGGCAACCAGTTTTTCAGTAAGGATATTCAAATGAAAACTATTTTTTAAAAAGAGATCCTTTACTTTTTCCTTGTCAAAGATTGGTTATAAAATGAAATGAATCTCACAATCAGCTCTCAAAACTGTTCCAACCTAAAATATTTTTTGGTTTACAGAAGTCATGCAAATGATGCTCTTCAATTTTCACAGAGTCCGACACCCAAATGTGAGTTCTCTTATTATTTTTCAACAAAATCGCTATGTAGAAAACTGGCAAAAAAACGGAGAGAGTCGTTAAAGCCTTTAACTTAAAGGTTGTGTTTTTTCGAGGCTTTTTTCTCTATTCTTTTTTGGTGAGCCAATCGAAAAGATACTATTTTTCTTACTCGTTTTTTTTTTAATTTTTCATTTCAAAACATTTATTAAATCATTTTAGGGTTTATCTTGAGAGTGTTGTTTTAAAGATGTTTGAGTTCTTCTTAAAAAACAACGTCATATGGCGCACTTCTGAATCCTATAATTACCGTTGTTTGTCGATCGCTGGGTGCTCTAAAAAGGTCAAATTACCTAAAAATGGGTATTTAAGAATATCCAACTCTTTCTTTTTCAAACTTCTCATCACGTTTTCTCCATTTGTGAAGTTATTTGTTGGTTGCCTTAAGAAAAAGCTTCGGAACACAAAACAACTTTTTTTCAACAAAAAAAAGTCGTTCCACCAACCGATTATTGCCATGTTTGTAACAAAACATACACACCACCAAATACATTCTTTCATCCTTCAAAATTCCTCCTAAAATCAACTAGTAACCACTTAGATTTTGAACAACCTTAAAATACTTTAGGAGGAGGTCTAGATTTATTAGAAAAATCATAATTAATAAATGAATTGGTGTCTCTTTTCTTCTTTGTGTTCTGTCATTTTGTTCGTTTTCCCAGGGTAAAAATTCTGTCAGACCTAATTTGATTTGTCGTAAATTTTTTTTGTGTTCTGGCAGGTTTGAATCAGAATTCGAGAACTGTTTATCAAAATTTTAGAGATCAAAAATTAGTTTTTAGTTTTCAAATTGGTGTCAAAAAATTAGGAGGGGCCCACTCACATGGGTTCAAGCGAGGGGGTCAGAAAGCGCGCCCCAGCAAACTCGCAGGCCAGAAGAAATTTAATAATTTTAAAGTGGACGCGGGTTTGATCTAGATCATGATATATTTCTTCAAAATATACTGGTTGCAAGATGCGCTTTTTCGCTCTTCATTTAAAACTGTGAAACTCAGCCAACGAAATTGTGCCCACTGGGTTCCCAAGAAACGGGTGAAAAATAGCGTCCCAGCGAACTCGTCTGCCAGAAATAATTGTATAATTTTGATCAACGCGTTGCAACGCGCGCTTTTTTCGTTCGTCGCTAAGAAGTTTTATACTCACTAGGGAAGGTTGTAACTGAGGTATGGGACTTTGATATGAGGCCTATATCATTCGAAAGCTGAGCATGAGACATTTTCAAATATATATTCAGATTTTGCGGCGGACATTCCAGGTCCGAGAAAATCGAATTTGAAATTTGGCTGAAATTCGAATATTTTGAGGGCCAGGTCTCCCCTTTTCTTATATGCATTGTGGAACTAGTTGAAAGCAGCGACTGGTGGTGTAGCGGCGAAGAGGGAGGACGGTAACTGACTAGGGTTGGGTTCGATTCCTCTCTCCTTTGTTTGTTTTTCTTTTTGTTTTCGGTCTTTGTGGAAATCTTCAAAATGTTCCGAACACATTTTTCAAAAAAAATTTCATTTTGATACTGAAAAATTGTACTTTCTTAAATGTTTTAAGTAATATCTAGTTTTTGACTATTTCGTTAATCAACACTAAACATTTTCACACAGCTTTTGTTTGTCAAAGTTCATAAGGATGGTTCGTTTTAAGAGCCACACATCAATCAGACATGATTTGTGTCTATGATTTCTCAAATTTTGAGTGTTACTGGGCGATCATCGTAGTACTACGGTTTGTTGAAAATCAGAAAAATAATCAAAATGTCTTGATCCCGAGAAGAAAATAGGTTATCAAATTTTGTAAAAAACCTAATTGCTTGTTCTTTTTCGTTTAATACCTTTTCAGCCGAAAAAAAAACTTTCAAAATTTTTCAAAAAAAAAAGTCAAGGGGGTGCCCCATGGAACTTTTTTTCAAAATCTTTTCTGAAAAAAAAACGCTTAAAATTGGTCACATTGTACAGAAACTTCTAAATTTGCGATCACAGTCAAAAAAAACATCCAAAATCTTTTGTAAACCATTAACTTTCTATTCTCAAAAGTCAAAAAGTGGTTTGAAAAAATGACTCAAAAATAGTTTTCAAAAGCATGTAACCACAATTTCAAACAGTTTCAGAGAACACAGTATGATCCTGTAAGTTTTTCATGTTTTTTCAAAAAAAAAATTTTTTTTGGAAAAAAGTCACCATGGGGTCCCCCCTTTGCTTTTTAAAAAATAAGATTTCAAACTCGATTTTCTCGAATATGGTAAGTCCGCAGCAAAATCGAAATACATTTTTGAAAATGTCTCATTTTCAGCTTTCGAATGATATAGGTCTCATAACGAAGTCCCATACCCCACAAACAACCTTCCCTAGTCAACTAACGAAGGACGGCAGCAAATTTAGAACTTTTTCCGAGATTTGCGGTGGCGTTTTTTTTGACCCACTCCTTGGGAACCAAGTGTGGGCCGACGAAATTGCGCAGGCAGACGTTCGAAGCGCCGAAGGAGCGGTAAACAGGATGGTTTATTTATAATTAAAACTGATTCAAAGAGAGTTCGATCAAACTTTGTGGGGTTTTTATAATGGTATTTTATAATGGTTTATGGTACTATTTATAATGCCCAGTAGTCTTTAAGGAAAAATATAATTGATGCATTTTTGAAGATAGTCAACAGTTTTTTGGGTTCTCTGATTTTCTATATTCTCATTTAAAATACTCATTTACCTTGTTTTTCTTCTGCATTTGTTCTGAAACATTATCCCGATATTATGTATTCATGAACCAAAAAAAGAGAAAAAACAACACAAACACTTCCCAGCAGAATAGCGAATCCATGCCGTTTGTTTTTAACTCTTTATAACTCCAATTGATCATTCTTTGCTCTTTTCTTTTTGCAACAAAATTCCTCTACACGTCACCAGACCATTCGAGAAGTGCCGAAATAATTGGTTTCCAGTCGGTGATTTGGTCCGGAAGTCCTCACACCTCCAAGTGGGAAAAAATGAAGTTTTGCAAAAAGAAAAAAAGGAAAGTCTGATCTTTTTTCTTTCCATAATTCGATCTCAATTCACACTTCTTTCACAATTAGGGGAGAGAGAAAGAAGAGGAAAAAAGGAAAGCCGAGAAGAAGAGATTCTTCATTTTTCTGGCACTTTTTTGGTCCTTCTTTCACACTTTGGGTATAAGTTTTGGTCCATTTCATAGCTTTGCTATCTTCTATTATATCTTTGAACTATAATAGAATCTTGAATTAGATGGGTTCAGGACTCATTCTCCTTCTTTCCCTTTCCAAGAGGACTTTCTGAGAATTCCCGGAATATATTTGGAATAAAAAAGAATTCCTAATTGGATTGGGCAGTTTTATTTACTCATAAAAAGATGGCTCTCATGTAACCTCTTTCCGATCAAGATCCACCCGCAATTCCCCATACTTCCGTCATAATAATTAGTAGGTTGCAATTCTTGGAATTATGATCCCAGTTTTGAATTATGTTTTCATTTTGAACAACAATTAGAGTGCCAGTCAGTAATTCTGATTCTTGCGTGTCAAACAACAATTTAACAAGCTTTCAAAAAATTTCAGGTTGATGTTAGCTGCAAATTGTTAAGTAGTTTTGTTCGAATTTCTAAGAATCTCTAAGAATTTCTAAGAAATTTTTAAGAAATTTTTTAAATTTTGTTACCCATCATTTAGTATGCATAACTGACCATAGTTCTTTCAAATCCGTAATTAAAATATAGATTTTTAAAGAATTTTGTTTTGTCTCTTTTTTTGGCCAAGTGAGCATTTGTGAAAAACATTGTCAAACAACTGAATATTTAGTGTATATTTTTTAAGTTATTTCTCTAACGTTATGTTGTTGAAACATTGTTTTTTTTCTTGGAAATGTAAAGATTTAATTCTTAGTTTTACGATGAGACAAAAATACCGGACTAACAACTCGTGTCAGATATTATTGTTTTCTCGAAAAAAGATTCGGTACAGAAATTGTAGTTTAAGAGATTATTTTGAGTGTTTGTGGGAAAGTTTTCATATTAATTTCCAATTTTTGACTGGTATCTAATCCGTCCTAGTTCAGCGGAAAATCACTGATAAAACGTTTATATCTCTAGACATAAGTATCTTGGAAGCACGAAAATTGGTAGAAATATAATTTTATGTTTGATTCAAAGCTACTGAAATTTTCACAACGATCCCTCAAGTCTAAATATTGTTATTAGTGTCCAAAGATGAACGGCACACGGTGTTTTTTTCGTAACGTCTTGTAAACGCGCTCGGACGCTAACATGTGTAGTAAAAATATCGTTAGTTTCAAATTGAACAGCTGAGTCGCTACTCAGCGGTGCCTGCATTCCATAAAAAGATGCAAAAAAAATTCAAAAACGGTTCCGGAAAACACACCGTGACGGCGTTATGTTTCTTGTAACTTTCATGAGATGAAGCAACTTTGACAAGCGATAACTCAGCTCAAAATTGGTTAAATAATTTGAAATTTGATCAGTTTACTGATGAATTATTTGAATTTTCGCATTCCAAAATTGATCCCAGAACAAAGCTTTAGTCAAACGTTTCGCTAGTTCAAAGTCCGTCCGAGTAACTATTCGCCACCCTGTCTTCCCGATATTTTATAACGTTCACAAATTTTATAACGCTTACAAATTCTGTTCCCTATACATCAAAAATCTTCAAAATGAATGCTTCTTGGAAATTTATCGAAGTACAAAAAGAGATCACAAATGCATCCCATTTTGCATCCTACAATTTCTCCTTTTGCTCCAAAAAAATGCAGGAAGAAGCTTCGAAAATTGTATAGTTGCTTCGCTAGATAAGAATGAAAAGATTTCAGAAACGATATCACCTGAATTTTGGGTCAAACTCGAGAATGTTTGTGGGAAGATTTCAAAACTTTAAAAAAAGAAGAAAGTAGGATGTCATCATTGTTCCCCAAAACGGGGGGTGGTTAACTTGTTTTGTTTATTGTTCCTCTATTTTGGCTGAAACTTACCTCTTTTTCTTCCATTTTGCTGCTGAAAAATGCCTCTTCTTCTCTTCTTTTGCTTCCAAGAACTCAAAATGCACCACTTTTAATTATTTACGAATCAAAACGCTCGGGTTGGAGGCTTTAAATTTTCAACCTTTTCGTGCACATATCTTTTATTTTTTCATGCTTGCAGCTGGCCGAGCTTTTTATCTGAATTTTTTTTGGCCCGGGTTTCCAGTAAACTATTTTTCTGTATGTAAAACAAATTTCGGAGTCAATAAAAATATAAACAGTTTTTTCTCTGTTTTGCAAAGAGCGGAGTGTCTTTGAACATTATTTTTCCTCAAAACAAGTTAATTTTCTGAAATTTCAGAATTTTTCAAATTGTATGCGAACCCTGAATTTTTAAATGGGTGCAAGACCCTGATTTGTGAAGTATACAGGATGGAGCATAATTACCTAGTTTGAAGTTTGTACGAGAATAAAAATTGAAGAGATTGTTGTACAGGACTCAAATTAGGAGTGCAAAAATGCAAATAATTAATCACTAAACTCTCCAAATTTCAAATAATTTTATCAACTTTGAGCTGAGTTATCGCTTGTCAAAGTAGCTTCATCTCATGAAAATCATAAGAAACATTACGCCGTTAGACTTGAGAAATCGTTTTGAAAATTTCCATACTTGCGACCGGGCCTTCGCGGGATCTGCCATAGCTTCTTTCAGAATCAATTTTTAAACCAACTAAATTACAGATGATAGAACTCGACGAATGCCAAATGATGTTATTTGGAGAACTGTGTCTTGTTTATCAAAAAAGTTACAGACAAAAAACAGAGGCCCGGCCCGGTCCGACGCGAAAAGGTCCGGCCACTTTATGGTATGTAAATTTTTTTCATAGACAAGAAACAGTTCTCTAAATAGTATCATTTTGTAGTACTCGTCGAGTTCTATTAGATCTAAGTTAGTTGATCTGAAAATATTGCTTCTGAAAGAAACTATGGCAAGGCCCGCCCGGCAAGTTCCCGGTCGCAAGTATGACAATTTCAGTAGTTTTGAACCAAACATAAAATTATACTTCTACCAGTTTTCGGCCTTTCGAAATGTTTATGTCTAAAAATATGCCCGTTTTTATCAGTCAGGATAATTGTACGCCACCCAATATTATTTTCTCAAACCATACTTCCAATCCTTTGTTCATCTTTTCCACAAAAAAAACACATATTTTAGAGGTCCAGTTGCTCATAACTAATTGAATCCGGAAGCCTCAATTGGCAACCATTTCCATTTTCCCCTTTTTTACCCCTCCCACTTTCCACTTAATTTATTTATTTTGCCCATTTTCCTACTACAAAATTCAATGTTCTGTAATCATTGTTTATCTAGACAGGTGTATCTGAAAGTCTCTCCAGTCCACTTTTTTCAGCTGCCTCATCATTTTCAAGTAACCTTATGACTTTTCTTAGATCTACGGTAACCTTTCGAGTCATCCAGACATCTGTCTTCCATGCGTAAAAGAGTTTCAAACCCATACATTTTTCATGAATAAGGACATGTGGGGGCGGAGTCAGCTCTTCTCAATTCCTTCCTTCTTCTTCTTCACTTCTTCAGATTGGATGACTTCCGGTTTAGACTCTAGAATGTAGACTCCAGAATGTAAAGCACAAAGTTTGAATTTTTTCGTTTCTGTACCACAAGAAGTTCACCTCTTCAGACATACCGCTTTTTGCCTTGTTCCATTCCTTCAAGTAATTTTAAATTGTTTTTTCTCTTATAGCTAGGCACCGCAATGAAAGGGGGCGGGGCGACCAAATTTTTCTCCCCTTTTCAGAAATCCATCTTTGAAGGCTTGTACCGGGCGTTAGAAACCCATTATTTTTTTGGTGAGAACTTGTCCCTATGTAATCGACTACGCTGAATCCAATGAAATTATCAGTTCTTCGATAACTTTATTATTTTGATTCGAAAACTTCGAAAAATAGAAGTGGGACTGACAAAGTGGACTAAAAGTGTTGGATGGAAGTTCGCGCCATTAGATTTTTTAATGGATTCTGATAGTTTTTGAACTGGGGGATTGGATTTTGAAATAAAATCAAAATTCTAACGACGCCCTTGTTTCACAATTTTCAGCCAAAGTTCCAGCTAAAATAAATAAAAAATTTCAGCGATGACCCCAATTTTTTTTTGCATATTATGGTAAAACTAAGTCTTGTGTATACTTCTGCCAATTTTCAGAAAGATTGGATACCTCTAAGTAGTTTTGATACTCATCCGAAAATTCCAAACTTTCAAAATTTTCAGTTTTTGGAAGTTTTGAAGGTGACACAGGTGAGCGCCACCGATTTTCTTTTCACCATAAGATTCTACGCAAAATTTGCCACTAAGAGCAATTATAATTAAAAAATTCTATCGACGCCCTTAATGTGTTATACGTCTGTTTCCTTATCTATCATGGAACAACTTGTAAAAAATAGGAAAGAGGCAACACCGGAAGGAGACGGCAGGCAATGAAAAGTCGTCCTTTCCTCACTCTCATCTATTGCTTCCAAGGGAAGTGCAGCGGTGGCAGACTGGTTAGTGGGCGCGCGCACCGATCTGAAGACCGAAGTTCGCATCTCCCATGGGGTTTTTTGTTTTTTTTTCCTTTTTTCAATGGTTTTTCCTTTTTTCAATGTTATAAACTTATTCTTTTCGTTTTTTTACCCTAAAAACTGCTTTTCCGACAAACCATGATGCGATTTTGATGAAAAAACAGCGCTCGGAATAGCGCCACAATGAAACCGCGCCGCAGCTAAGCCCCGCCCACTTTTCTGCGCACCGCAAAAAAATGAGGAGAAATTCAGTACATTGAGGTCTGGTATAAAAGGGGCTGTAACTCGGGATTGAATGAAGATTTTTCCCTGAAATTTTGGGAATGGACTTCTATAAAGTAGGAGAATACAATCCAACAATAAAAACTGGGAAAAGTCTATTTTGAAAATTTTGTTGTGGTGCCTACTTATAGCCCTAAATGCATTATGGTCATCTGATTTGAATTGAATCCCAAGGACCTGAGTACATTCTTGTTCTGTCTAGTGTTATCGTGAGTTCAAAGACTATCATTTTGCCATATGTTATTGGACATCAGCCTGCTTTCTGCGCCCTGTCGCTTCAAACTGCTGGCTGGCGCGCCAACGGGGCAATTCCGTCGCTTCGCTCCTCCGCGGGGTTCTAAAAGGCCTGGTCAAAAAGAAATCGCGAAATTATAAAAATTTCGTCTGGCCTAAAAGTTTGCTGAGGCGCTATTTCTGACTAGGCCCTTTATGACCCTGTGGCTTCTCACTTTTTTGAAACTAATTTGAAAACTAACTTTGACTTCTAAAATTTGGATTGGAAGTTTTCGAATTCTGATTAAGACCTTCCAGACCCGAAGATTCTAAATCAGCTCAAATTAGATATAAGAAATAAATAGGTAAGATCGCGCCGAAGGGGCACCAGCCAACTGTTTGAAGCGTCGGAGGTGCGGCAAACAGCCTGGTAAGTAAGAATGATTGTGAATGATTTGGATCCAAGTTTTAATAAATTGTCGTAGAATTCTCAAAACACGGAACTTACGGTTTAAAGCTCAATTTCTAAAATCCTGGCAGATAATGACCTCAAAAATTTATGAGGCAATAGCTTATCCTGACTGTATAAATCTGTCTGGAAATCTAATAAATTATTCCGAACTCTTGTTCCCAGAATATCTTCCTTTCATGTTCCTAGGACCCTTTAATCAAATTAACTGAACGTTCGTTTTCTATGATGCTCTTCTTTTGTTATCATGTGACCTTCTTCCAGAAATATCTTCCAGAAATATTCCAGAGATCTGTTACTTTTCCTCCTTAAGTACACTTTTTCCCGATATGACTGCAAATATTGGCTCATCTGTCTCTGTTTCCCGTCTGATTCTTTGTTTTCCTGTTGCCAAAACAACTTCTCACCTCTTTTTACTTTTTCTGACGCTCCAATTTTTATCCGATCTGTAAATAATTCCATGAGAACAAGAAGAGGAGAGAATTCTTCATTATTTTTCGATCTTGCAATTATTTTAGAATTCAAGCATTAGAACCCATTTCTATCCTCGTTCTTTTTCTTTTCCTCGTTCAATCAATCGTGTATGAAATTTCAAAGAATCTAAAAGACAAAAAAACAAGCATTAAGAGTTCAGTGCTTCTTCCCTTTAACCTCTTTCTATTCCTTCCTTCTTCTTCTTCTTTTTTTCTGTTCTTGTCACTTTGCATCCAAATTCACTTTTATGATGTTCTTCCTGTCGATTTCTGAACGTCATTTCGAAAATGGATGTATTCTGAAGCTTAGTTTGATGATCCCAATTCAATCTGAAAAATGAACTTTTTCGAAACCTACAAAACTGATTCTTTTCAAGTTTTATTGAGAAATCCACTCACTGAAATTAGAATTCAGATGCTGAACTTCAGTTGAGAGTATAGGTCATCATCACGTATTCAGTCACACACGATTCTGACGTCTTCTAAAACATAGCCCTGGAATTCTGATTTTGACAGATTCTTCTACTATGTTTTGTTCGTATGTAGTGTCCCTTGATTCACATAATTTTCAAAGGGTTCTCTTAAACTCTTTAAATTACTATTTCGATTTCTTGAATTATCGTTTTGTATTTATCTTAAGAATTATTCTTTTTTTATCACCGAATCTACAATTCATCTATATTCCTAGAATGTACACTCTAACCCAATAATTTTTTGTATTCATCTGTTCCTGAATAATCTTCAAATGCACGTCTTAAGCTATTTCAGCTCCACCTATTTTTTTTGAGATTTCCTGAACACAAATATTTAATAGACAAATTTGTGTCCCCCATTTTTGCACTTCAAGGTTCCATTAGCGGAATTCGATGCTGAAATTCAATTCTTTCTTATTTTTCAGTTTTGGGATTCTGGTTTTTGATTCTCTTTTTTCATTTTTTAACCAATATTCATGTGACAAGTCATTGAAATCTGATTTCCTTGTTCTTCTGAAACCATTTGAACTCATCTTCCTTCGCCATTTCCACTCCCCAGAGCCTCATTCGAATTAGATCACAAAACTAGTAAAATTTTTCCTTCTCTCTTTCCCTATAAACAATTTTTCCTTCCGAGCTCCGAACACAGAAAAGTGCGAGGAACATGTGCAACTAAAACAAGGAGAAATAGAATACGAACATGTGCAACAAAAACAAGGAGAAATAGAATACGAACATGTGCAACAAAAACAAGGAGAAATAGAATACAACAATTCTTTTCCGTTTTTGTCTTCAAGTTCTTTTAAATTATGACTTTCAGATGATCGAAATAAACGACACATGCGCAGAAGATCCTCCACAAGCGGACGCCTTCAGAATGATTCTGATAGTGTTCATCGGAACAATTGTCTGTACAATTGGCATTGTCCTCAACAGTTTTCTACTTCTCTCCTTCCGTCGTCTGGATGTTTTCCGTTCCAATCTTCTCTATTTATTCCTTCTAGCATGCCTCGATATTCTGGTTGAACTCTGTTTCATGGTTAGTTTTTCGTTCTTCCGCATTCTTCTAGTCTCAAATAATCTAATTGATCGTTGGTTCTGAAAACTGGAAACTTTCACCTGCAATTCTCAATTTTTTGGATTGAGAGGGAAAAAGTGTAGGAGTGTTTATTTGGATTGGTTAATTGAATTGGCGGCAAATGTGTTTCAGTGGACAGCAAAAAAAGACTAACCAGTGGTTATTTGGACAACAAAGGGGAAGGGGAAAAGCGGTTTTTTGAACATTTGAAAAACAAATAGGTTGTAGAAAATTAAGAGGAGGATTTGCAGTTAGGCTCAATCATAATTGTCGGCGGGCCGATTCCGGGCCGGCTCATAACTCGCTTCAAAATTAAAATTTTGAGCAAAACAAGACACATGATAATAAAGCTCGCCGAGCTCGGCGCGCTCTCCAACCCCAAATAAGAAACGACCAGCATTTAATTCAGTTAATAGCCGGTCAGGGAAAAAATCGTCGGCCCGGAACAATTTCAATTTTGAAGCTACTTATCAGTCAGCCCCGATTGGGTCCCATAGAAAAGTGCAGTCTCTCAACCTAAATATGACCATATTCCAATTTCAGTTAATCTTCCCTGCATCACTTGTCTGGGACTACTTCCGAGTTGAATTCCTCTACACATGTTGGCACATCTACATAAAATATGTGTCAACTGTTGGTCAAGTACTGATTGCTGCATCCACACTTCTAATCGTGGCTGCTTCATTCGAGCGATACATCTGCTCCCAGCGATCTTCGATCCAATTCTCACCTCAACGCAGATTCCTTTTCATTTCAATCGTTTTCACATGTGCACTTTTCATGAAGGGATCTGTATTTTTCGAACTGGAACTTCAATCTCTTCCACATTGTCCGCCTTTCCAAAATTTGAGATTAGACCTATCAGAAATCACAAGAAGGTATCAAAAATTCAAACTAAAAAATTAACAAAAGAAATCGGAATTGCAGTGAAAGCTACAAAACGATATGGATGTTTTGGTGTCGCTCCATATTCAATGTGTTCCTTCCATTTTTCCTTCTTCTAGTTCTTAATTCTCTGACAATATCAAACCTCAACAAACTACACAACAACGGATTTCAGTCGATTCTCGTTGAGGTAAGTTCCAGTCTATGTTATTTTAGTTTGCTGTGCTTTTGTTAAAATACAACAAATAAAAAAAGCAATATCTGAGTTTTTGTGTGCCTTTGTGTGGATTTCTGTTCTCTTCAGAATCGTTGTCAGAGTGATGCAACAGACGCTTTTAAACCCTCTCCTTCGCCTGAAAGTCTCTCCTGCCGACCACTTCTCGAACCTTCTGTCACGTCTTCTACCATCAGCAGTGTTTCTTCTTCTGCTTCGAATGATGTGAGCTTTCAGTTTTTAGATATACGGCATGGTTACTTTTGATAATTTGGTTATTGAGTTCAGAATTTGTAGTGATTTTTTTTTAATTAAAGGAAGGTATACCGTATTTTCTCCAATAGGAGCTCACCCAAACCGTCAGCATTGAGCTCGATTATCTCTATTCCTGGAAAAGATTTCAAAAACTTGTCAACAGAATTGTTTATCTCAATATTACCAATATTTTATCAGCTGGCAGTTTTTTGATAACTTTCACAGGTATCGAGATAATTGAGCTCAATGTTGACGGGTTAGGTGGGGTTCTATTAGAGGAATCACGGTAATAAAATGACACCTGACGGTTTTCATATAATACCAATCCGAGGGCTATTTTATTCATCTAGTTTAAATACGGTTATTTTATTCCCCACTCTTCCAGTCCCAACACCTCTTACTCTTTCAGCAAATGCCAACTCTCCTCCGCCGGAATTCAGAGGCGTGTGCAGCCCGTCGTCGGAAGCGTGATGCGACACGCACATTGGCGGCTCTAATCACTATCTATCTGTTGACGAACACATTAAACCTACTGATAACCATAATGGAATTCATTAACCCCGATGTGCTGGGTAGCCTAGGCGAAGGATGGACGTACAAGTGAGTGTGTTTGTCTTATCACTTAAAAACTATTATTAACTTTCAGATATTTGGCCGACTTGTCGTCTGTTCTCACTATCTCTTCAACTGCATTTCGACTTCCAGTATATTTCCATTGTAACCGAGACATTCGAACACAGATACGAGATTTTGCTAGAAGTTGTTTTATTGATCAGAATGAGAAGAAAAAATTGGTAGGAGGTGGAAGCTCAAATTCAGAAAAAAAAATCTAGAAAAATTTCAGGGGAAACTAACAATGCCCATCACATCGTCCTCGACGGAATCCGTCTTATGAGCAAATTCTGACCTATTTTGTTGATACTCATGAATTTTACGTGTGTGTGTATTTTTGTGTTTACAGTGTAAACTGTATATTTTTGTACAAATAAACTTAAGTAACAATTGTTCACAAGTGCAACTCTGGATTTCTTGAAAACGGAAGTAGTCGTGAAAATGCAACATTTTTGTAGGCACAAGTATATAAATGAAAAAAAAGGTGGCCGCGGTTGAAGGTCTCACAACAACAACTACAGTAACCCAATTTTTTTACTTTTCCAGATTTATTACCGTCCTACTACCTCTAATAGAAACCCATCCACACCGTCCACTTTGAGCTTAATCATCTCGGTGGCTGTCGAAGACATAAGAAAGTTATCAAATGATAAAATGTGTCTGTTAGTATGATAAATATGTTATCATTTGATCACTTTTTGATATCTTTCATGGGATTTGATGTATGTGGGCTCGAAGTTGAAATCTTGGGCGGTACTCTATCAGAGTGTTTATGGTATTTTACCATAAATTAGCCCGAAAAATTCATAACAGTTGATAGTGAAAATGACTGAAAATGTACGAAAATTAAGAAAATCGATTGACATTGAGAAAATAAAAAAGTTTCTAGATTACGGTAGTTATCGTTATGGGATCTTCGGCGACGGTCACCGGTGTTTCTCTTCCGCAGCTCCGATTTTGCGAACCAGCATAAAATTAAGGTGTTGAACCAAAAAGATATGAATGATAGGAATCTGATCCTTCCTCGACCTGCAAAAGCTATCAACAGTATACTCCAAAATCAATTTCCCGGTTGGCAAGAACAATTCAAGAACTGCATAACTTTCTACCCAGATACTCCAATCTTCAAATTGCATAGTTTAATCTAGTTTTTCCAACTCTCGAGTTATTATTCCTCGCACATATTTTTATTATCTCTCCGTGCAAATCTTCTCCTATTCGTTCCTCATTGTTTTCGTTTCCCAGAGTGTTTTACGCGTGCAATTTACAATTCGTTGATGCATCTTAAGATTCTTAACCACCTGAGAATCTAAATGTGTCACTTTGATTTATCGGCTCAATCAGATAACCGATAGGTTGCCGTTTACGACCCGCGTATGCTCTCTCTCCCGCGCAAACATCGTGTCTTCTTCTTTTTATCTGATGAGCCCCATCCCCATCAACACCACAATTATTACCTTCTTCCCTGCTAACCGTGTTCTTCTTCTCAGGTACCCTTGAGTGCTAAAAGTGTGTTTTCTTCTCTAGCTGCTTCTGTGCTCTTCATTATCTATTCACTTCACGATTTTTATTTGCGCGCTGTTTTTCGTCGAGGGACGACGTCTTGGAAATTCGAGAAAACCGCCCCGACTGCTGCCTCGTTCACATTCATTTTTCAGTTATTTTCGTCGTTCATTACTGCGAAAAATAGGCTATTGGTTATTTCAGATTTCGTTCAGTTTTCCGATTTTGTCATGGTTTTTCGTCCAAAACCTTACCGAGGAAATCCGAAACTTTCAACCTGCAAAAGTTCTTCTAATCACCAATTCCAAAAATGTCCTAGTTATTATAATTTTTCCAAAGCTTTCAAATTTGGGATTTCCGGACCCAGACCCAGAGAACCAAAAGTCTAAAGTGAAAAAAGCCAAAAATCCCAGATTTGGAAAATGTGGATTATATTATAAATACAAATTTTGTAATCGGTTTGCTCAAAGCTTCAAAATGAGCCTGAAACGATGCATGCTACGCGGTCTAGAAATTCAAATTACATGTTTTCTAGGCCGCCATCATCTGAGTTTCTGAAATAGTTTGATTTTGGGCTTCGAAATGAATAAAAAACACTATACATTTTTGATTTGTTTGGAATGGTTTTTGGGTGCCTGTGTTTTAGTGGGCCAGAAATCCAAAAATAGGCCTTAACTTGTAGCAAGTTGACTAATCGGGAGCTTCAAAATAAGGCTTAACCCTTTTCCAATTTTATAAGATCAGCCATCCCTAGAAATATATTTCGGATCGGCTCTGTTTTCGTACTGGTTGGTTTGGAGCAATGCCGTATAACTTGTATGGGTTTATGATCTTTACCTTTGGCGGTTTCCCAACTCATAAAAAACTGTCGATTTATTTTCTCAACTGTAACAATCCCTTATTTCTCTTCTCCCCTTTTTTGACTAACCACCTTGTCTCAACATTCTCAACCAATAATTCCCATGCAATAATTTTTATGACACCCATTAAAAATTTGTTCCTTAAAGTCATTGCCTTCTTCTTCCCGAATCCCTTTTCACCCTTCCGTGACCTAACTGCTTCTTTTTTTTGGTTCTCCAATCCTTTTTCTGAAACTTATTCAACCTTGAAGCGGATGGATGGCAAGAAGAGTGAAAGCGTCCAACCGGTAATCTACCCTCACCATCGCCTTTCGACTCATTTTTATTTTCTAGCTTTCTTTTTTTTTGAAAACACATGGATATGAAGATTCGCCTAGATATATCATATCCCATTTTGAAATGGAACAAAAGAGGCTATCGTCTTCTGAAGAACCCCCGAAAAAGTGAAAAAGTGCGGTTGGACTTAAAAAAAACGGTCATAAATTTGACGCATGAATAGTTTCGGATGCGAAAGAGGAAGAACACAGGGGATGAAAATGGCTGCGTTTTGTTTTTTAAATCCCTTCTGAATCCTTTGTCTTTCACAACAAGTCAGAAATGCACAAAATGTCAGGAATGTATAGATGAATTTTTAATAAAGCCCTTGTGACAAAATCAATCAGAAAAAAGTGTTATTATGATTGAAAAAGAATGCATTAGGTGTCTTTCGACGCCCTCAACCGGTGAGGCGATTCGATTTAAAATTTCGCTTCGCCTCGCCGTTTGTTTGACTTTGTAGGTTACTGTTCTCTCCGGAAAGCTTGTTTCCATTATTCTTCTTCATTTTTGATCGAGATTCCGTTTCCTTTTCTTCTATATAGATTCAAATTTGTCTCCTCCCCATCATCTTTTGTAAGTGTCAAAATGAGTCAGATGCCGCACGTTACTTGGCGGAATGCGATCCCTTTGTGACATGGAGAAGAGAAGACAAGAAGAATTTATGATGTACAGTGATAAAGAGGTTTGATTGTAGGAGTAAACATCCCCCGATGGTACACATTTTTCAAATCCGACCCCCACAGGTTTATCTCGGTTCGTTGGACAGATTTAGTAGTTTTTTCTAACCTATCCACTGACGTAAACAAAGATCTAGACTAGTTGATTAAACTACTAAAGCTCAGATTTCTTATTTGTAGGCAGATTTGGATAAGGCTTTCGTCTTGTTACGAAAAAATAAATATTTTTTAGACTGACCATTTTCTAGTTAATCAATTTTTTTCTTTCGGTTGAGTGAAGGGTAGATTGACAAATTGAAAAGATTAAAACTACCGTAATCCTTTAGAAAGCGAAGAACGAAAGCACTGAAAAATCTTGGGTTTTATGTTCAATTCAAATTTTCCATTACAGTACTTGATTGTTATTTTTTTTGGATACTGTACTTTCGTTGAAGTACATACAGTATTAGCTCTGGTAGAAGCCCACCCAAGCAGTCAACTTTAGGCTTAATTATCTCAACTTCTATGAAAGATATCGAAAAAAAAATCAATTAAAAAATTCTTGATGATATTATGATAAATAATTTATCAGTTGACAAAATTTTGATATCTTTCACAGAAATCGAGATAATTGAGCTCAAAGTTGATGGTTCGATAGGCTTCTAATAGAAGAAATAAGATAATTGAAACTGATTGTTTCCTCTGAAAATTTTTTTTTAATTTCTCCCACAAGCTCCTAAAAATTTGAACCTTTGGAAAATGGCATCTGACTCGAAAATTGAGTTTCCCTCGACTTTTTTCTAGACTCGATTCGATTAATTCAATTCCTTTCTCACGACTCTTAATTGCTGCTGTCCCATTTCGTCTTTTCTCAAAAAAGACATCTTGTGCACTCCTTCTCCATATTCGTCTCCTCATCCAGAAGAAGCAGCTCATCCTCATTTTAATAGGCCCTCTTTCAACGGTCATCCGGCTCCTATCGTCGCCACCAAAACGTCCATCGGCTCTCTTCTCATATTTCAATCCGCTTCTGCTTCTTCTTTCCTTCTTTTTCCCCGACACCAACAGATGCTTCGGTCTTATTTTCTGTAAGCCCCGCCCCTCGATTCCCCCCACCCCGCCCGACTTGTGTCTCTGCACCCTCCTGATCAGAGGCCCCGTGTCTTCTCACCCTCCGTTTTCCTACTGCCTAGTAGTGGTCAGTTCTCTCCTCCCTTTTTCATCATCGGTGTGCACAAACATTTAGAATTTTCTACTCATTTTTGGGTTTTCATAGTCATCGCCCTTTTCTTCTTCTGTCCTTTTACCTATTTGTTTCTATAGCATATTCATGTACAACCCTTTTTTAAAACCATTTTTTACAGTTTCAGATCAGGATGAAACGACCTCTCGACTTTTTATTAGCAATCTGCTTAATCCTACTCCGATCATCCACATTCGCAGATGAGCACACGGTACACTGGAACTCAACCAATTCAATGTAAGTCTTTTCTTTTATAAACTTTAGTACAGTGGTGCTCTCCTGTTCTCTTCAGTGCGCGAATTATAATCTTATCAAATTGAGCAAACAGTACCTTTCTTGAAAATAGTGATGATCATATCACCTCTTATCGTCTTGTTGAATAATAGATAAGGCCGATAAAGGAGCCAGGTGCTTCTTCTTTTGGGACAGCTGTGCCTACTCCTAAGCTCATCTAAACACTTTGTTTAGAAAACTGGGGAATGTGAGAACATAGTCTTTGAATTCTTTCCTCGTCTTGGTCTTATAAATTGTAAATGTGACGTGCGGGAAATAAGAAGGAAGCATTGTTTGGACGCATGGTCTGGATGGAGGGGACCACTAGAATCCGGTTGTGTTCCATTAGGAGTCAGAAGTCCATCATCACCTGCTCATTCACTCCTCTTATTCTTATTCACTTGTTTACCGATCCACACTTCTTCTAGGAGACTCCTTGGAGAGACCTATCCCCTTTTTCTTCTGAATGCTTTGATCATTTTAACGGGACAGGGAAAACCACAAGACCATAACTTCTAACCTCCCGCTACCGGGCTATTTGCATAACAACGGTATGCGCATTGTGTTTTGGGTGAACGAGAGAAGTTCGGTGTCACTTTTTGTCAGGTGTCAACACGTCTCTCGCTTCTATTGAGTTAACTAGGTGCGTCTCCGAACACATGTTTCAATTTTCCATATAGTTAATAGGTTTTCCCAGAAGCCATTGTAGATTTGGCATCAGATTAGCACTCTCAACACTCATGGTAATTATCTGAGAAGTTACGTCAAACTTGACGTCGACATCAATCAAGATAACAAAGTTCTGGAGACTCCCTGAGAACCGAAAACCCGTACCGGAAGGCCAATGTATGCATGGTCCCGGGTTTGTTTAGAGTAATATCAATATACCCCACTTGAGAAGAGTTGCGTAGTGGGTTTGAGCCCTTCTCTTCGTATTTGCATACGGATTTTTGACAAGCTCCTAAGATGGTGTGTACGTTATGCAACGCAGGTGTGGAAATAAGAAACGGGCTCTTGCTCTTTTTGATTCACTCAGGGAGGTCCTAGTCATGTTTAATGCGATTGAGAAAAAGAAGAAGCAGCAAAAGAAGAGTACTACGACAAAATTGCTGTCCTCTGCTCTCGGCTTCACTTGAAGAGCCCCATTTCCGGCTCCGTGTTATTGGAATGTGGGTGGTCCTCCTCTCGTTATTTTTAGGGGTCGAAAAGGAAGCACTTGACGGTGACTTTACTTCTTATTCTTCTTCCCAATATCCTCCTGATTCAGAATTTATCGTCGTCCGTTTTCTGGGCCCAGGCGGCGCATGATTTACGGCGTCGTCGCTCCCCTCCCGATCCTTATCCTTGTAATAATCTGCGGTCACAGAGTAGATGGTTTTCTTTTCGAAGCAGATGTGGCAGTACTTCTGGTGTTGGTGTATTGAGTGTCTCCTGATTGCGTCACACTGCTCACAAAGAGTTTTGTTTTCCCACTGGCGGAAGTCTCAAAGACTTCACGCAACACTCATTACCGCATACAGTAGTAGGTCTCCATTGATACTGTACTTTCGCCACAAAGAACAAAAGACCCACAACAAAGGAATGAGTAAATCTAAAAACATCTGTTCCTGTACTGCTTTTTCGGATGAATATCTTTCCTGATCGAGATGCAGATAGGTCGTTTACATGTGCCGCCCACGATGTCACACATCATTAATAGATGGCGGCGGTAATAGGCGGGCTGATGGAATCGCTTAGAAAGTGACAAAAGTTGGTCTTCTAAGAAACACCTGGAGAGATGATGATGAATTCAAAAGATTCGGATGGTTCTCATACCTACCCCGAGGCGATGAATTTGCATATGAGTAGAAGAGAAAGGGATAAGAACGGTTAGTGGTGCTTCGATGCAAATCTACTTTTTTGTCTTTTGTTATTTGGGGACCCCCTTGGAAGGAATAGAAGGACACGAGAAGTCCGCGAAGGGGTGCCGTCCGATCCGAAGATTTACAGGCAGTTCGGTGCACACTTCTTTTGAAAGGTGCCGCCCGTCTGGTCGTCCTCGGCAATAGATTTGTCTCTTTTCTACAATAATAATAACGAGGACGAAGAAGATGATGATTATTATTATAAGAAAAGGATCAGGACGATATCGTTACCAATGGGTTAATCTGAAAATTAGAAGGGGGGACAACAGAAACCATCTGCGCCTATTTTTTTTGCGCAACATCATAAAGACAAAGACCCGTCCCCTCAAGAGGACGAAAAGACTAATTAGTACTTGATAAGCTTATTATTATAATGAAGTATGACGAGTTGGAAGAGAGCCAATTAAACTGATATTCATCTGCGATTTCCTGAGGTTTGAGGTTCATGTAAATTGACAGCCTGTTGACACCAAATGGCATTCATGCTAACATATGGACCACTCTGAAGAGCCTTCTCTATGTGTTTTTTCCTTCCCTTCTTTCATATTCTATATTTCCAATATAGGGCGAAAGGCGACGTCCCCCATATCCGCCGTTTGGAATGAGCAATCACGTACATTTTGTACGTTTCAATTTGTCTAAAACGCAGTGTGGCTCAAAGGGGCTCAGAGAGCTCTCTTCCACAGCATTACTAAATCAAAAAGAAATCGGAGGGAGTAGTGTTAGGGGCAATGAAATAAGACTTTTCATGTATGCAAATTACTTGGCTTTACTTGGTCAGAAAGAGAGAGTAACTCTTTCATAATTCTATACACATTTCTTAGATCCAGGTAGTTAGATCCAGGCAGAATGAACCACTAATGAACCAAGGGGGATTTGATATAAAACATAATCCCAATCTTCCCATATCTGGACTCATTTGTCGTCGTCTTATATGGTCATGTTTCAAATAATATAAGGTTCTCTTCGTGAGCCATGTGCTGGCTGGTGGGGCGGTTAATTACCTGCGAAAGAGAGTGGTTCCGGATAAACAAGAGCTTATTTGGTTGTGTACGTGTACCCTTTCCAACAACGTCTTTTCTTGCTCAATTTGAGACAAGGTTTGGCTGGCACATGGAAAAAATGGGGGCCAATTTGAGAAATGAGTCGTATGAATATGTAACAGTTGACCCTACACGATAGATAGATAGGGATGAAGTTAATCTTGGACAAGCACTCATTGACCATGGGGGACCCCGTGCCGGACGTTGGGATTAACCTGAAGGGCCATTGACACTTGTATTGGTGTGGTGCAGCTTCTTCGATTGTCTTTCTTCACTTGTTTATTTGTCTTGTAAAGAAGGGAAACGGTAACTCGAGCTGTCTTCCTTTGTGAGCAACCAATTTCCGTTCTGGAATCATCTATGGCACATTGTTTAAATTCAAGTCTAAGACCCAAGACCCCAGATGCCCTCTTTGTCTTCCTGTACAACCCATTTTGCTTCCATCGTAATGCATGGAGGCGTGATTTTTAAGTAGGTGTAAGATGTATAGGTGTTGTAATAATGCGCGCCCGTCAACCATCCATCCACACAGTTCGTCCTCGGATGTATCATACCGGGGAGGGACACGCTCGGATGAGTTCTTTCGATCCTAATTTGAATGTCACTGTCTCACTCCAACCCGATAGACTCGTTTGGCGGAAGAAAAAAAAAGGTAGAGAGAGGGTCAATCTGGGATGATTGATCCGAGTGATAACAAATTGGCATGACACTTGGGAGTGTAAGAAGTCTCTGGAGATTAGGTAAAGGACCTCTTCTCAGAACTTTTCTCCCCAATAGTAATTCGATCCTAATCCATTGTGCAGTTATGTTTGCCCAACACAATAAGTTTGTGTAATAATAGTTGCGGATGGGTCCGGGTCGAGATGATCAAAATTTATGCGATATGAGTCTGGACAAGCTGTTGAGCCATCGCTCTCCCAGGAGATGGGAGTTGCGTAACACGTGTTTGTATTAACACACGGAACGTCTTCTGTCTGCTGCCAGTATTCGTGAGTGAGGAGGACACGATGAATTTTTAAACATGTTTTGATATGTAAAAGTGTTTACCCAGTCTTCTCCCGCACACTGATTTATAAAGTCGAGTCGTGGGAAATGTTACTCCATCAGTACTCTTCATCATCATCATCTTCATGTGCTTCTTCCAACCCATTCCATTCACTCTTCAAGATGATTCTATAATAGTGGCATCTCCTTCTTCTCGTTTTTGCCTATGAGAAGTTTGTATGCCACATATAACACATAGACTCCAAAAAGAGGCAAGGCAAAGTAAATTTCGTTTAAAATGGGGATAATTGAGTTGCGGTTGTTGTGTTGTTGTGCAATGGCAATTTTGTGCGCTCTTAAGGGTTGAAGAAGAAGAAATGGAGAAGACGAAAAAAAAACGCGGAGAAGATGTCTCTTGATGCATCTTGATAAGGGGACACACAGCATGACTTCGAGGTTGACGATGTAGGCTGACGACGACAGGTCTCCCCCCGAACTCCATTTGATTAAATTTATTACTTCTGAATCGCGTTCTCTCTATAATTATGAACTGCCGATTAATTTATGAGGTCGTCGAACGTCTTCTGACATCTGAACGGTTACGACACGAACCAATATACCATTTACGAATTATTATTGTACTAGGTTTAATTCGAAAAAAAAACGTCACATCGGATTACGATAATTGGGATTCATGGAGAACTCCTGCTGAGGAGTAGTGAATCAGATGGACAAAGGGCAGGCGAAGAAATGCCGAACCCATTATTAGCAATTAACCTCACACACTGTTTTACAACACAGATTTCTTTGCCTTTTGCCCTTTTGTAGGGACCTTTTACCACCTGTCCACAGTAATTTTCTCTAAAAAGAAACAACATGCTTCTGAACACAGGCGTCTCTCCTCGTCCATTAAACATGAAGTTGACCACATTTTGGCTCATTTACCCCTCTCCTCCGTGTGGATGCTCTTCTTACTCTCATAAAATCTGAACCTTTTCGTGGTAACAACTTGGTCGTAAATGTCCAGAATTTATGAGGGGAAGAGGAACACCACCCGGAGATTGTAAAAAGTGTGTGGAATTGGGTGGCAAATTGATGTGTGAAGTGACCCAAAGCTGAGCGAAATGTGATACTTTTTGGTTGATTGGGGGTTTTCTCTTTCACTGAGATTCTTCACACCCTTCCTGGATAAACGGGGTATTCATTCATTTGGCTTATTAACGGGAAATAATAGCAGGAATGGTGCTGTCAATTTATTTGTCTTTTTTGGGCAGACGGTGGCAGGTGGCTTCTTCTATTGGAATGGTATTAGTGTATGCAGCAAGAGGCACATGTTCCCCGTTTGATTATATGTCTCATCTGAGTAAACATTGTGATAATTGGCTCAATCTCGGGAGATTCTACTTCACCACTTTTATCAATTGGGTAGAGAGTTCCGTTAGCTTCTTCTTCTTCTGTCATCTCAAGTGCATTGACACATGTCTCGAATGGTAATAGAGTCGTCGGCTCAAAAGAGCCGAGAGGGCCTTCTTGACCAAATGGACGCCTTTTGGCGCAAGTCCTTTCTCTTTGTGGCTTCTTATTCTTTTTATGAGGAGAGCTTACAGTTGAGTCGGCACCGCCAATTAGCAATTGCGCAAGCACACAGAAAAGGGATTATTTGATTTACGGGGGCACAAGCAAGGAATCGGATCCAATGATCCGGAAGTGTTCTACCTCTTTGTGTATTCTTCATTAATGGGAGACGGAAATGAAGACGACCCGAAAGTTTACATGTTTTGTATTTCAGGTTCCGAAATCGACATCCCTCGATTGAAGTGAGACTTGGAGACGTTGTTCGATTTGTGTGTCCAGACAACGAGGGACGAAAAAATGGAGAATATTTGACAGTTTATGAAGTTTCGGAGTTTGCAATGGGAGAATGTGCTCTGGAGTCGAATTCGAGAGAAGTCATCAAATGTGGAGTTGATACAAATACGGAGAAAATCATTCGTACACATCAATTGCCAATTGGAGAATCAAGAGAGCCTCCAAAGAATGTTGCACAATTTATCAGATCAGTTAATCCAATTCCAAATGGCAAAGAGTACCAGCCTGGACAGACCTATTATTACATTAGTGAGTTTTGCATCAACCGTATTATGCTAGTACAAAAAATCGGTGGCCAAAGGTCCCACAACAACAACTACAGTAACCTAAAAATATGTTCATTTTTATGATTTATTTTCTCGTTTTTTAAAACTGATTCTCGTCGGTTGTTCTGTTATTTTTCGAGAAAACTCAGAAAATAAAACTATTGTTAGGTTACGGTAGTTGTCGTTGTGGGACCTTCTCCCACGGCGACCGACAATTTTATTCTGATTTCTCACTGTAACTCTAAATGTTTCAGCGACTTCGAGCGGAAAGCCTGGTGGAATCGGTCAACAAATGTATGGACTCTGTGTATCCAAAAATATGCGTCTTTCGATGAAAGTTCTATCAAGTCAGCCAACACCATCTCCATCTTCAAAACCAGCAAGATCTCGGACAGATGCTCGGCGCCAAGAAGACTTTATCACAAAGTCCAGCGCCGAATTGATGGGAGGACAAGAAGATGAGGATTCCGAAAATGACAATGCCCATCTGCTTCCGAGAGATTTGGAAATTGCGACTAATCCAAAGTTCAGAAGACCTTCTCAATTCGATCAAGCTGCCGCTTCGGCTGGAGTCCTGGATGGACAATTTTTGAAAGTTGTACAAATGGCTAAAGAAGGAAAAACTGGAACGTTCGAGAATGATCGAGAAGTGCAGAAAAGCGCGGAGAAGGATGCATGGGATCCGATTAACAGACATTATGTGGCTGATTTGATGAACTCGGCATACAAGAATGCAAATGATAGAGTTGTTTATCAGAGAGAACCCGATTTTTTGATTCATGAAGAAGGTTAGCTTTTTTTCATTTTGACAACTATCATTGAAATTTTTATTTCAGATATTTCAACGAATTCTCTCGGATATTCCTCGTCGTCTTCAAGTTCATTACCAACGTTCCTGATAGTTTTCCTGATTGCTGTAAACCTTCTCTTCTAACTTTTTGTTGTAAAATTTTCCCTTTTTGTGATCTTCGAGCTCTTATTGGCTCTTGTCACATATCCACCCCCGATTTCCTTCAGGTTGTTGTTTCCACCTCCCCACATTCTCATCCCATCCCTTCTTCATCCGTCTCTAATTTCCTCACCGGTTTTTGAATTTTAAATCGTATGCCTAACGGGTTCCCCACTCGAGTTCTTCTTTCAGCTTCCTAGATTTCTATATCAAATTCTAATAATTAGTATGATTGTTCTAGCACTGCTCTAAATACTGTATATGAAGATTTTATAAAACATCAATCGAGATTTTCCATGCACAGGAAATATATATCAATTTGAAAAATATATGAAACATGCGATAATAATAAACTGGACCAAATAATGTAAATTTAAAAAGCAGATGCCTTGTATTTTGCCCAAACAGTTTGTCCAACATGGATGTATCCTGGCTTCACGAGTCCCGCATTCACTCCGAAAATAGGGCTCTCTCCGAACTCTTGTCTCAATTGTCCTGGTCCAAGACGAAACTCTCTGAGCTTCTTCAGTGGCTGCATGTCTTTGTTCTTCGTTCCAGACTCTGGGTCCACAGTCGTCAGAATGCATCTGGTACACGGCTTGAAACATTGCAACTCCACTTCTCCTATGCGTAAATCAAGCCACTTATCCTCGTCCCACGCAGCACAATCGTCGACGACAATGCATGGACGGAAGTTGATTGAAGAGACATTATGGTCGAGTTTCGAATTCAAATCATCAAGAGAAGCTTGAGTCGTGATCATGTATGGAGCCAAGTCAGCATAGGCGGTCTGCAAAGTTACCACCTTTTTTAAGTTACTCCATTTTTGAAAACTCACATCGTCGGTTCGTTTTGGAACAGGGTTGTTCCACCATCCGTCTTCTGTTTTACATGTTCTCTCTGTGAACAATTCTGAATCATACATGATGACACGTGTTCCTGGCTCATCGAGAACTTTGGAGAAGAATTCAGCAACATCGTCTCCACAATCATAGCCATCGGTACGAAGATTGACATGAAGGCTGAAATATGCAAACTGAGAAAAGGATATAGTAAGTGAAAAACGTACTATCCATTGCGCAAGTCCTTCTTCGCTTTGACCTCTTCGATGTTGAACTGAGCACTTCCTTTTCCTTGATATGACACAATAACCGTTCCATTCTCAATGACAGTTTCGATGAGAACCATTTGTGGTTTGGTTCGAGCTGTGTAGAACTTTCCTTCGCTGTTAATTACCAAGAAATGGCGATCGAGATACTCTCCGAAAACAGGACCGAGCGGAGTGCATCTGTATTGGAAAACTTCTTTTCCTTTGCATGATTTGATTGGGTAGATATGAAGACTTTTAATTCGACCAACTGGAACCCATTCTGCTTTCGGTTTCGTGTACTTCTTCAGCAAGTCGCGAAGGGTCAGAAACACCTGAAATTACATGTGAAAATGCATCTTGAGGCATGATACTTACATTCCAGGAGATCACCGAGGTTCCAATTATTCCGAGAATTACTTTTCGGTCTTCGAATAGTGAATTCATTTGTAGACACTAACTGCGAAATGTGATGTTTGTAAGTTAGTTAAATACGCCGGTACAATGATGACTTCAGAACGAAATGAAGGGATACAAATGATAAGGAGGCAATCTTTGATAAGGAATACTACGCTGTTTTTCAAAAAATGAACAAAAACAACGATCCGAGCAGATTCTTCTATTCGGAAGTCGTCAATTCAAAATTCTGGAAAGATTATCAAAAACTACCGTAGTCTAAAGGAACATGAACAAAACATTTACTTCGTCCTGAACATTGCGACTACGGTAATGTTTCAGACTTTCCTGAATCTCTCATTTTGCTGAAGAAATCGTTTTCTTTTTGTTTTTAGGTTCCAATTCCATTTTTTTTGTTTTCCCAACCCATTCATTTAGGTTAAATTTTTTTTCAAACATCGCGGTCAAATGAAACAACATGTCCGCAGTACAACGCGCTCGTGTTTGCGGACACAGGTTTACGACCTCCCTTCCTCAAGCATGACTCATTTTGAACCGTTTTCTGTTTCAAGAAAAAATAATTCATTTTCAGTACACCTGCCTTATGGTATTTTAAACCAGCAAAACAATGAGCAACAATGTCTCTTTAGAGGCTGCTCTCAACAATGTCTCCGTAAGTTCTGAAGTGAAAAAAAAGGAGTAAATATCACAGATGTTTTACAGCTGCTCGACATGATAGTCGTACCAGATGACCAGCCGGACATAGAAGCGAGAGTATTACCATTATTGTATCGGTTAGTTTTTAGTTTGAAATTTCATTTCACTATGTGAGAAAACTATCTTTCAGAGCGAACTTTGATACCAACTTTGAAGATCGCAGTGCATTCGTCACCGGTATCGCAAAATACAGCGAGGAAGCAACGCGACATGCTCAATTTGTAAGTTATCTATGAATATTGTTGTAGAAAAAAGGAAAGTTATTACAGAATGATATGCTCGCCGAAGGACTACAACATGCCGCTAATTTGTATACATGGAGATGTTGTTCTAGGGCCGTCCCAATGGCTAAGTCAAATGATCAACCAAATCGAACAGAGATTAATGAAATGGTGGTGAATGTTCTCAAGCCAGAAGTCAGCAAACTGAATAGTTTCATGAGATTTACAGTACGTTTCCAATGCCACTATAGTTTAATGTGCTTTTTAGTTACATGCGATTCAACGATTCTGTGAAGAAGTTCGGCGACTGTGCCATTCAGAGAAGCGGAAAGATTTTGTTTCGGAAGCGTATCTTCTGACTCTTGGTAGATTTATTAACATGTTCGCCGTTCTTGATGAGCTCAAAAACATGAAAGCGTCGATAAAAAACGATTTTTCTACATTCAGAAGGTTGGTGACAAAATTTAAAACGGTGATCATTTCAAGAAATTTTTATAGAGCATCCCAATTTCTTCAAACTATGTCTGATACACAAGCCATTCACGATATGCAGAACTTGAGTATGTTCCTGGCTACGCAGAACAAAATCAAAGACGATCTCAAACTGCAAATGAAAACTGTAAGAATTTGAAAGTAATTTTCGATATTTTCATTTTTGAAATTTACAGATTGAGGGATATGAAGAATTGCTATCTGATGTCGTTAATATTTGTGCTCATATGTATGAACAACAGTTGTACATTTCTCCGAATGAGAAGCACATGTTTGTCAAAGTGATAGCATTTTCGCTTTTCCTTATGGATGGAGATGCTGCGAACGTTGCCAAGTTGGATCAGAAGAAACGATTGAGTATTCAAAGACTGGATAAGATTTTCAAAAGTCTAGAAGTAGTTCCACTCTACGGAGACATGCAAATTCAGCCGTTTGCTTTTGTGAGGAGAAGTTCGCATTACGAAGCTAACAAGTGGCCATTAAGTGATAAAGAATGTAAGTTAATTTCTATTTTAAAAAACACAGATTTATTTTACAGCTGAAAAATGTCATGTTAATATTGTCGAGAAAGTGCATACAATACGGTCGGATCATGAGAGTTACGTTACTCAGTTTGCCAAAATCAACAACGAGGTTGCTATCTCTGATCGTGTTGGCAGTGATCGTGAGCATCGGGAACTGACATCGCTCGCACTCTCAGGTATCCAGCTACTTTGCCAATGGTCATGCGCTGTTGTGGAAACAATCAGCTGGAAGCTTCTACACCCAACGAATCCAAAAGATAATCGAGAATGTCCAGACACTGCAGAAGAGTATGAAAGAGCCACGAGGTACAACTACACACCCGCTGAGAAAACGGCACTTATTCAAATCATTGCAATGATCAAAGGACTTCAATCCATGCTTGGAAAAATGGAACCAGAAATGTCGAATGCAACAAGAAAATGTGTATATGTAGAATTACAAGCATTCATTCAACATACAGTGAATGAACCACTGCAAAAGGCTATCAAGAACAAGAAAGATCTGTTGGCGAGTATTCTGCAATCAGTAAAGGACTCAATATGTGATGTTGGATACGAATTGAATCGAATGACTGACACAAAAAGCAAATCTAAAAAATCGGGTAGCAAAGTGGACTCTGCCAACTCGTCTTCATCCGATATCAGAATTCCCAGAAGAACAGCTGCCCCCGGAAGTACACAGCTGTATATGGCGAGAACGCAGTTGGAATCGTTGATATCTGAAAAACTCTGTGGAGGCAAGAAGATTCTACGCAAAGAGCTGGATTCCAAAACGATCGAGAAGATATCAGTCTTTTTACGTAAATCAGCACATTGGCCAGCGCTCTTCAAGTTCTCGGATTCAATGACAGAAGCTGGAGAATTAAGTCAGCTTTGGTTCCGAGAGTTCTATCTGGAAATGACTATGGGACAACGAATTCAGTTTCCGATTGAGATGTCTATGCCGTGGATTCTCACAGATTATATACTTTCATGTGATGAGCATTCACTGATTGAATCCGCCCTCTATCAACTGGATCTCTACAACGATGCTGCACAATACTCGCTTTTCAGTTTCAACAAACAGTTCCTGTACGATGAAGTAGAAGCTGAAGTGAATCTGTGTTTCGATCAGTTTGTCTACAAACTATCAGAAATGGTTTTCACCAATTACAAACAACTTGCGTCAAGTATGCTCCTCGACAAGCGTTTCAAATCGGAACTCAGTCGTGTGGGAACGATAATTCGAACACCGACCGCTTCCCGATTCGAGAGTCTTCTTCAACAAAGACACGTTCAGTTGCTGGGACGATCGGTTGATTTGAACAGAGTGGTTTCTCAACGAATCAATATGTCACTTCTGAAAGCACTTGATGCAGCCATCTGGAAGTTCGAAAGCGAACCATTATCGTCAATCATAGAACTGGATATGCTGATTGAAGCCAACCGTCTCTGCCATTCTCTTCTGAAAGAAGTTTTGCATTCCCTTGCTCCATTCGATGATATTTTCCAAGAAGCGAACCACGCAGTCAATTCACCACACGGAAGAATCACTCTTCACGTCTTCTGGGAACTCAACTATGACTTTGTTCCCAACTTCGTCTATAATGGATCCACTCATCGATTCGTTCGAGCTAAGCAATTTTTTAGAAAGACTCCTGCAAGAGAGAAACCACCACAAGTTGGACAAGTCTACTATTGGGGATCTAAATCCTTGATGGCCGCATTTATGAACATCTCCAACGGCTACAACTCTTGCATTGGTACCCAGCATTTGAAGGCTATCACCCGCCTATTACATTATCAAGGAATCGCCGTCATCTTGGACGAACTTCTCAAAATGACACATCGTTTGCTGGAGGAAAAAATCAAGAGACATGTTCGAAACGTTTTTAACATGATGCCAAAAGTGTTGAAGCTTCCTCGAGCTGACTACGGAAGCACTGCACTTCTACAGTACTATTGTCATCATTTGGACGCTGTGGGGAAGTATCCAGAGCTCAAGTCTGAGTTTTGTCAAGATTTACGAGAGCTTGGAAATATGATTATTTTCTGTCAGCAATTAGAAGTAGCTCTTGGACAAGAAGAAACGCATGATCTCTTTTTAGCGGCTGCTTTTATCGGGAATGTTCCCCAACCGCCATCAAGAAGTAATTTTGATAAAACCATCAAGACACTAAATTAAACTTCAGAATTTCAGATGCACAGGAACAAATGAAACAGCTTGCTAAACTGGAAGAAAAGTATGCGAGGATCCATTTGTCGGAAGTTTTGCGAAAAACACGAATGATGAAGGACAAGCGATAATAGCGAAAGAAGCAGAGCTCATGACGAAAGAACGATTATGTTGTGGTCTGAATGTTTTCGAAAATTTCCTTCTTCGAATCAAACAGATTCTTGCTAATGATGAGGTTTGAGAATAATTCAAATTTTGAGAAGCAATGAATTCAATGTTGATTAATTTCAGATCTGGACCGGAGGATACCCCACGAATGGAGTGTTTTGGATCGATGAATGTGTGGAATGGTATCGTGTCTACTCTGCACTGCAGTTCTTCCTATGTCAGCCCACGCGCGATGATAATGAAGTTTACGCAGAGTAAGTTTCAGAAAGTGGTGGTTTATAAATGAGGAATACGAGTTCACTAGTGTCTGCTTCTGCTTCTTGGACGGTCTTCAATACTTCTAGACCTATCTTGTCTGCTCTTCGGACGATCCTGACGGCTTCGAGTTCTTTTTCTATCTTCACTACGGCTTTTGTCCCTGTCACGGTCCTCCCGTTCCTTTCTACTGCGATCTCGTTCACGGTCCTCGCGATCCTTGCGACTTCTCTCTTCCCGTTCCTTACGGCTTCTATCCTCTCGCTCTTTACGGCTTCTGTCCTCTCGCTCCTTACGACTTCTTTCCTCTCGTTCTTTACTGCTACGTTCTCGCTCACGATCTTCGCGTTCCTTTCTACTTCTGTCTTCTCTTTCCTTACGGCTTCTCTCACGTTCCCGATCCTCTCGCGCTTTACGACTTCTTTTACGCTCACGATCTTCCCGCTCTTTCCTGCTTCTGGAACGGTCTCTATCCTTGTCCGAACGACTTCTGTCTCGATCATCGCGTCTTCTTTCCAAGCTCTTCTGTTGACTCTGTCTTGGACTCCGACTCTTTTCGTTTTCTCTTCTACTATGGTCACGGTCACGATCCCTATCTCTATCATGGCCACTTCGACTCTTTTCATTTTTTCGTCTCGGACTGCGTTCTCTGGATTTATCCTCCCTTCTTCTCCTGAAATTACCATATTCTTTTACTAGTTTCAAAATATTGATATTACCTATCATCTTCTTCACGTCGCCTTGAATCATCTCTCGGAGGAGGTGGCACACGATCAGGAGGACGACGCTGAATATTTACATAGGATTTGATCTAGTTTTCAATTGTATTTGCGCTTACCCCACTCCTGGGACGGTCGTCTTCACGGTTACTCTGAAAATGACTGAGAAATGTTCGTCTGGATCATTAAAAACCCACTTGTGGCTTTTTCGGTTGAGTGAATTCTCCTCCAGATCTAACTTTCATGAGAAAAATGACGAGAAGAATTCCAAGAATGCAAAACGAGAGAACGCCGCTTATAAGAAGCATGAACACACTGGGTGGAGTACTGTCAACGAAATCAAGATTTTGGTAGTCTGCCGCAGTGGGAGGGTCGTCCGATCTTTTGGCACGTTCCTCAGTGGTATCAGATTTTTTACCCTTACCGCCTTTTTTCGGTGGAATACCAGTTGTATTCATTCCATTTGCTGGTTCCTAAATAGAGGTTGTCTATTGGTGTTCATAGATTACAACATACGATAGCTTTAATCGGAAGAAGAAAACAACCAGATCCCATTGAGCAGAACATAGCAACCGCTGCTAGAATGAACCCCTACAAGCTGGTTTAAAAAAATAGAACTTTATATAAACCTACCAGTTTTGGTGAGGCGTGCGCAGGTTTTGTTGCCATAAGCATGAGAAAAATTAGAACAGCCAGTGCGATCAGAGCCAATCCTAATGAAACATAAGCCTACGATAATAAGGGTCTGTGATAAAGTGATGATAAAGTTGCAAACCCAGGCTGGCGCACTACCGATGGAAGAATTTCCTTGTGAGAATACGACAAGCTGTATGATGAACGCTACATTGTTCGCCTAAAGTCTTTGACTAGAATAGAATCCTTCTCCGCAAACAAACTCACAAGAACCGCACATATAGGCTGTACGTATAGCCACGATTTCGACTCATCGAAAGTCATTAGATTATCATGCGACTGTTGCTGAAATATTGGCTCATATGATAGCTCGGTGGCCCCATGATGAATACGTAGCTAGAAACGAAACGAAAGTTCACGCTAGAATTTTACAGAGAGCTGTTCGGAGACTCGATTCAATGGGGAGGACTCACGCTGATCACGCTTCTAGGTCAACATCGACGATTCGAGGTGCTCGACTTTTGCTATCATCTTCATCGGGTCAACAAAGGCGATCAAAAAGATGAAGTTATCAATCAAATCGTATGTTTTTGTATAGTAAAGTTTTTAACATATTCTACCTTTTTATTTTCAGAGACTATCCAAAATGGTGGAACGCATACGCCGCTTCCAATTACTCAACAATCAAATCTTCATAATTCTGACAAATCAACTGAATGAGAACAACGATGATGACTATGAACGGGTCAAAGAATTTGCTCCACCTGTCCATCCAAAATATGCTAATCATGCTCGCCGCCAGTGATATATTCCCTTCTTGTTCTTTCTGCATTGTTATGGTGCTTTTTATTTCAATTTTTAATTTATTAATTTTATCACGGGGTTGCAGCAGGTTACATAAAATTTGAATTCTCAGTGCTCTTGGGCGCGTTGCGCCGCGCGACGCGGCTGAATTTTGGAATTTTCAATTCAAAAATGACGATTTGGCACGCGTCGCGCGGCCCAAGAGCACTGAGAATTCAAATTTTATGTACCCTGTTGCAACCCCGTGTTTTATTCATCTTGCCCCCTGATTCTCGAAATATTAGCATTATTCAGTTGGCGCTGCTCTTATATTAATTCAGTTTCCCCTTCCCGCAATAATTTTGTGAATGGTTGCTTTTATGTACAGAGAATAAATCATATTATGTATTGTTTTAAATTCCTAGTCTTTTTATTAATGTATCGCAACCGAAATAGGTTCAATGTGGTAAGTAATTTTGTCTTTTTGTCGGATTCTCATCCGGAAAATCTGGAATATTCATAATTAGAATTTTCGCCGCAACCAATGGAAACTCGCTCTGCCGCGACCGCGCCAAAATCCCGGCGGAAACCTGAACTTGTGAATTTGTCTCTCATTGTTTCTTGGTTTTCGGGACCTCTGAAATTTGAAAAAAAAACAAAATTCTCAAGCTTAATTTCGGGCAGTTTGATTCTCTAGTATCACTGAAATCGTAAAAAAAAATTTTTCCAGATGTTAGGCATTCCAAAAACACCAAAGCGGGTCGTTCGTTCACATTCTCGCGATCTCTATCAGCCGAGAGTGAGTATTCTTCTTTCGACGATGAATCTAAAAATCCAATGTTCAGTTCAGAATCGAACAGCCAACGAGCCCACTGTCGAAATCCCATCTTCTAGGTTTCACCCTTCCTCTCAAGCAGCACATTCTCCAGCAAAAGTCAAAGGATCTTCCAATCCCAAACCCATTCCCAATTAACACTTCGACTCCGAAACATAAGCCACCTGATCCAGCAATATCTACTCATCACTCACCTCTGTTTTCGATCAAAGAACCGGCCAAAATCTATAAGAGACGTTCTGAACTTCAGTATCAGAATGTGAATGCGTTGCCTAAGATTTTGGACGTAGATGAAGATGAACTTCGTGAAGAAGTGGCCCTCGAGGATTCCGATGTCATCGTCTTATCTCCAGAACCCCGCCCAGTCTCTGCACCGCTGATCAAGAAAGCTCTCTACCAGCCAAAACTTCCGCCACGTCCCCGTACAGCTGAACCAGTCGAGCAGAAGCCAGCGAAGATTGCAGTTTGTAATCCTGTGGTTGGTTGTTATTTACCGGTGTGATGATAATATCCAGTCAACCTGTTTTCAGCCCAAACAACGCACAGTTCCAAAATTGACAGTGACAAAGACTCCTCATTGCGCAAGACCGACAGCTTCATGGCTGGCTCGCATCAAAAGTAATCGCGAAGACTGTAAATTGAAAGCACCCATTTTTGAATGAAATTTTGTCCTAAGTGTTTCCGTGTAAATAGTTATTTATAATTTCGCATGTGAATAAATATATGGTTGCTGCTTAAAACGTATCTTACAACAAAGACGCCAGAATCAATAAATAACTACTACGAGTCAAACTAGAATGAACTAGAAGAGACGTTTGATGTACCGTGGAATGGACTACGGAGAACTTTATCCGATCCTCCTGATTCGTACGCTTTCCTCCAAATTTGCCACTTCCAAACTTTCGTTCAAAGTTCTTCCGCGCGTTTTTTTGTAGGAGAGACATCCTGAAAACAAGAGACGCAGAGAAACGCAAATGCGCTCCACGATTATTGCGCGAAAAGAACGGGATTCAAATTCAGAATCGCCTGTTCGTTTTTTTTTTTCAAACTTTGATCGTTTTCGCCTTATCAACTGACAATTCTTATCTCTGTTTTTCTGAATTTTATCAAAAAATCAGTAGACCAACTTGTCGTTCACATTTTTTCAAACTTCTTTCTTGTTTTCTATGCCCTATTCATTCGAATGTATTCTGTTTCAGCATGAGCAAGTATGAAGTGCTCCAAGGGTTTTACGCCGTTCATGACGAGTTAGGGTCTGGAGGTACAGTTCTATCAGAAGTATTCATAATTTTGGGAGCTATTTGCAGGGTTCGGGAAGGTTCGGTTAGCGACTCATCTTCTTACGAATCAAAAAGTTGCCATCAAAATCATAGATAAGAAACAGTTAGGAGTAAGTTTAGAAATTCAAACACAGCTCTGAAAATGCACCAATTTACAGCATGACTTGCCGCGTGTTCAGACTGAGATGGATGCTCTACGCAATCTTTCCCATCAGAACATTTGCCGTCTCTACCATTATATTGAGACAGAAGACAGGTTTTTCATTGTTATGGAGGTTAGAGATGTTTCTATTATTTAATCGTATAAACTTCCCGTGTTTCAGTACTGCAGTGGAGGTGAGATGTTCGATTATATTGTCCGGAAGGAGCGTCTCGAAGAGTCGGAAGCTCGTCATTTCTTCCGTCAGCTTGTCAGTGCTATCGCCTTTGTCCATTCACAAGGATATGCACATCGCGACTTAAAACCGGAGAATCTTCTTCTCACAGAAGACTTGCATCTGAAGCTGATCGATTTCGGGTTATGCGCAAAAACGGAGAAAGGCCGAATCGACAAGCATCACCTTGATACATGCTGTGGATCACCTGCCTATGCGGCACCTGAGTTGATACAGGGACTTCCTTATAAAGGAAATGAAGCAGATGTGTGGTCAATGGGAATCTTGCTGTACACTCTTCTTGTCGGTGCATTGCCATTCGAAGATGATAATATGCAAATAATGTATAAAAAGATTCAGTCGGGCTGTTTCTACGAGCCGGACTTTCTATCTCCAATGAGTAAGCAATTGTTACGGGCCATGTTGCAAGTTATACCAGAGAGAAGAATAACAATCAAGAAGCTTCTGGAACATGATTGGCTCAATCACAAATACACACAACCCGTCAAATGGAACACTATCTATGATGTATGACCAATTTCACGAAATAACATAAGAGAAACATTGTTTTCAGAAAAATTTCATTGACCGCGATGTCGCTCGAGTGATGGCGAGGTACTATGGTCTGGAAACGACAGATAAAATGATCGAGAAGATCAAAGAATGGAAATTTGACTACATGACGTCGACCTATTATGCTCTACTCCATCGCAAAAGAAACCATCTGGAAATCATTCTCCCGATGACAAGAAATGCGACTAACACGGCTCCTGTGGTATCGGTCTTTTTGAATAGATTGATGAATAAGAATCTATAATTTCAGAATGTTCAAAACATCCTTTGCTCGCCCACTATTCACGCATCTCTCGATAATAATCTTGACAAGTCTGGATTGGAAGATGGAGATTCTAGCTCCGATCCATCGAGCATCTCTCCTTCAGATATCGCTGCTCAATTGAAGAAGAGCTGCGATGTTTCAGACGGAAAATCGAAGTTCGCAAAACCGTTATCTCCAGAGAGTAAGAAGATGTCGTACGTTAATGCGATGCTCGCGATGCCTTCACAATTCACCGGACGATCACCTCTTCGTATTCCTGAGTCACCGGTTTCAGTTCACAGTAGTGATACAGCAAGTCTCGGATCATCCACACCATCTCGTGGTGTGAGTAGAGTAAGTTCAACACCAAATTGCGATTTGTTCATTGCTCTACGAACAAGGAATTTCAGGACACAGACAAGGAGAACACTGGCAACAACAAGAACTACCGTATGGGTGCAGCAACGTGCAAGGCTCGTGGACCGCTCAAGATAACAGGATTAGGTTTGTAAACTAATTGCATTGTGGCCGGAAAATATAAACAAACGATTTTTGTTCGTTCTGTAGTGCCGCAGATCTATTTCGCAACCAATTTGTACCCAAGTATTTTCAGAAGATGGAACTCTTCGAAGTGTCTACACGACTCCAAACAACCGACCAACGCTACGTGGCATCTTCAGTCCAGGAAATTCTGATTCGTCTCACAAGAATCGGCAGAGAGCTCGCTCTTCAGATCGCGCTAGTATTGGAGCAGCATCTGGGGCTGGCTCACCGATTTCTATTGGAAGTACTCATAGTGGAAACGGTAAGAAAAATGCAAAGCCACACCTTGTTTTCTACGCAAAAAATAGAGCCTTTAGCCGACGGTCGAACACCAAGAAGCCGTACAAAAACGAATCGCCTTCCACAACGTGTGTTCACTTCGTTGGAACGGAAGAAGGAGAAATTAATCACGCTGTTGACGCCTCGAAAAATGCAGAGAGATTCTCCACAGGTGCTGAAGGACGTTAAGAATATGGTGAACGTGTCGATGACAGCGAAGCAAGATCCAGAAGACGTCAGAAATATGTTGAAGGCAGTTTTCGATGAAGAGAAAATGCGCTATGAGCTGAATGGATGGAAGTTCTTGGCGACGAAGGAGACTGTTCACGGTTGGATGACTGTGGAATTAGAAATTGTTCGACTACAAATGTTCGATAAAGTGAGTAGTTTCGCTTTGGGAATTTGACTGCTTTTCCGTTTGTAAATAGAGCCTGAGCACAAACAAAAACCAAAAAACCATTCCACTGGGATCAATTTTCAGGTCGGAATTCGCCGTAAACGTCTGAAAGGAGACGCATTCATGTACAAGAAGGTCTGCGAGCACATTCTCTCAATGGCCAAAATTGATTAACTATTATAATTTTGGCTTCTTCTTTTTTAATTTCAGTATTTTGATTTTGCCGTGTCTTATCATGTTTTGAACCCCCGCCCGTTTTTCTTCCTGTGTTTGTGTAAAATATCATCAAGCCCGCTATCGTATTTCCCCATATTTATATTTTCCGGGGAAAAATTGTTTAGTGCCCCTCTTATCATTACAAATCTCAAGTTTCTCAAACTTCCTTCCACTAATCCCAAAAATTTCTCTACCTATTTTTGTGTTCTCTGACTATACAAGAGGATAAAACTTATATACATATGGTCAAGATCTATGTCAAAACCCGCTGTTTGTTGTTCAGAATCACCAGGTAACCACAAATCCCCTTCTTCGTCGAAAACACGTGCTGCCGCCGGCGGATTGCGAAAGTGTTCAGCACCAAAAAATAATAGAAGTTAGTCGTATTTGCTCTAGCCGTCTTCTTACTCTTGCAAGGCTCCGCCCACTTTTTGCCGTTGATCTCGTGAAAAACAAGTGGCCAGGTATAAAAGCCTCAGCCATTTGGGCCCTATTCTCATTCACCGAGTCGAATTCTCTTTGAATATGGCTCATGGACATCATCGCCGCCGGCGCCCAGCCCGAGAAGTTTACTTTAAACTATCCGCTAAAGATTCGAAACAAGCTCATTTATTCTCTCTTAAGTACGAGAAAACGAGTGGATTACTCGAGAAGCTGAAGGGAAAATTGACCGAATACAAGGTCGATTTTGCCAACGTCTTCTGGATTGATCATGACAAGGATCAAATATTCTTGCAAACTGTCGAAGACTTGAGAGAGGCTATCAAATTCTCTCGCTTCGTTGTCAAGTTGTATGTGGAGACTCCTGGTGAGAAGAAGATTTTGAAGACTGAAGAAGACGACGACGGCAAGAGCAGCAGCAGCTCTTCGTTCTCCAAAGTTTCTCGTCGTGAGGAAGACGTGTCTTCTGAATCAGAATCATCTTCTTCGGAATCAGAAAGTAGCGGTGATGATGATGACAAGGGAGGCAAGAAGCCACGTGGACGTTCTGTTTCGTCTTCTTCGTCTGGAAGTTCATCGTCTTCTAGATCGTCATCTCAATCTTCGCGTTCTCCATCTCGTGGACGTCGTGGGCATGGATCTCGTTCTCCATCTGGATCTCCAGAAAGGTGTGAGAAGAAGAAGAAGGAAGATTTGAAAGCAATGAAGGGACAAAAAGGTAAGAAATCTAGTTTTAGTCATATTCAGCACGACTTTCAGTAAACCATTCTTCAAAGACCGAAAAAGGGTTTTCTATGTTTTTTCACAGGGTTCGAACTGCTCTAGTATGTTGTTGCGCTCTATTGAGAAGTTTTATGCCGCGTTCAAAGTTGATTTCCAGGAGAAATTTCCTGGAAAAACGCTGTCCAAAGCTGCCATTGTTTTCCAGAGGCCTCCGCTTCAAGACCCGCCGTAAATCGACATGAATCAACAGAAAAAACACAGTCAAAACGAGTGCTACAGTAGTTTAGTGTTACTGGAAATCTGGAAAACAATGACAGCTTTGGACAGGTTTTTCCAGGAAATTTCTCCTGGAAATTAACTTTGAACGCGGGATTAGGCACGTGAAAATTGCGAGAAATTCAAATTTGTAAAACTTAAACTTCACCACGTCACTTTCTCAATAGAGCGCAACAACATACCACACCATTTCGAACCCTCTCTACTTGTATACGGATTCTTATTCAAATAATCATTTTTCCAGATGAGCATCGTGGACACCACGAAAAGCATGGACATCATCATGGACCGCGTAGAGACAATGGATCTCGTTCTCCATCTCCTCCAGGCCCACCAGGCTGTCACAGACGTTATTGGCGACATGGAAGTCATGGAAGACATGGATCTCGTTCTGGATCACCAGGAGGTCATGGAGGCCATCACCATGGACCACCAGGACGTCACGAACATCATCATGGACCACCAAGAAAACACGGAAGACACGGATCACGCTCTCACTCTCCCAGAGGTAGACACGGACACCATCACGGACCACCACCATGTCCAGGAAGACACGGACATCATCACGGAGGACGTCATGGACCAGGAGGACGTGGAAGATCAGGATCGCGTGGTCGTCATGGACCACCATGTCCACCACCATGGCCACATCATCATGGTCATCATCACCATCATGGAAGATGTCCATCTCCAGGACACCGTCATCACCACCATCATGGATGTCATCCACCATTCCCACCATTCCCACACCATCACGGACACCATCATCACCACCATTGTCCACCATTCTGGCCACCACACCGTCGTGGACATTGCCACCATCATGGACGCCATGGACATGATCATGGACACCATGATCATGGGCATCATGGCCATCATGGACACCGTTCATTTTCTCCATAAATGTCTGTTAACCATGCTTGCTCTGTGCATAATGTATATCTATTTTTCTTTCAAAAATGACTTTGTGAAATAAATAATGTGTAAATATTTGGAAAAAGGGTATTGTTTGATTTTCGGGGGAAAACCGATCTTTGATGTGAAGAAATTCCACTTACAATAAACTTTGAGCTGATATATCTCGGTTCTTTTAAAAAATGTAAGAAAGTAGTCAACTAACAAAATGTTCATCATAATATTAAAAACATTTTGTTAGTTTACATATTTTTGATATCTTTCACAGGAACCGAGATATTTAGGCTCAGAGTTGACAGAGGGTTTACGGTAGGTTTCCTCGATGGAGACCTCCTAGTAATTTAAAGGTGGGGGGACATGAGAAAAATAATGTTGTCGAAATCCCGTTTAAATATGCTCCTCAAGGAGTTGAACTTGTCGAGACAAGTATTGAAGGTGCGGCGCCGCTACCGACTGAGCTACGCGTGCAAAGAGAAAGTCGCTGCCCGATTGCATCTATAAAGGCGAGGGCGACAGCTATATGCAGAGTGACATTAAGCGTTGTACACCGTGACGGTAGAATGCATACTCTGGCCCCAAAAATACCCCGTAAAATCTCCTGTCCCCCCACCTTTAAAGAGTTTTTCAAGCAGGCACGTCAACCGTACTTTTATTTTTGTAGCCAGACTTCCAGGTGCCAAGGCAGAGTAGCCACAACAATATGTTCACTGTTCTCTGAAATATTGCACAGTCTATTTGTCATGCTGTCCAGCTTCTCCATCTGCTTCGAAAAGGCGAAATGATCAGTTTCAATTGGTAGAGTCATGGCCAACAGATCGCGTCCACAAGTAAGTGGAGACCAAAACATCTCGACCACTTTCTGTTGATCAGCGAACACATGAAGAGAGAGAGAGAGGGAGAGAGAGAGAGAGAGAGAGAGAGAGAGAGAGAGAGAGAGAGAGAGAAAACAGAGAAGTGTGTAGTTTGGGCATTTTGTGCTGCTGCTGGGAGGAGAGAAAAAATAGAATGGAGTTTATGCTGGTTTGCAGAATAAAAGAAGCGAGCCTCGTTAGATTCCAGTCATATGCTACAAATGAGAGTCAGAATCGAATATCACAAATATCAGGTGACGGAGGTGGGAATCTGAAAATGGGAATACAACAGAAAATTCTGTCTGATATAACGGAAAACTTGAGAAAGGAATTATCAGAATATATGGTATTGGGATATTAAAAATCTATTGTAAACGGTCTAAAAGAAGGCTACCGTATACTTGCACTTTGAACTCAATTATGTGACTTTCTATAAGAGATATCGAAAAAGTATACACTGACAAAATATTGGTGATTCTATGACAAACATTTTATTTGTAAACAGATTTTCGGTATCTCTTATGGAAGTTGAGATAATTGAGCTCAACGTGAAAATTTAAGACCGCCTGCTATTAGAGTGTTTACGGTATATTAAGCTGGTAATTCAGAAGTTTCTGTAGACTGGAAGAACAATTGATGAGTCATCTTACAGGGAATTCAAATTCTTGAAAATCCAAGACGAATCCTTGTGTTCTATTCCGGAAATGTTAAATCTGTTCTTGGTTTCTAAAACTTCAATTTTCAAAGTTTCTAATTTTAAAACTTTCAGAATTTCAAATTTTCAAAACTTCTAAAACCAAACGTCTGTCACTAACTTCAAGTCCGTCTGTCACTAACTTCAAGTTCAATTCTGGGTCTGATGTTTGTGAACCAACACTTCTAAGATCTAATTCATATTTTCGAATAGATCAATTCCAATTCAACATCTTTACCAAATGCGCAGGCTTTCATCGGTTGTATTTATATTTCAATGATCTCACAGTCCAACCAGATCGGTCTCAGAAAACGGTCTAGATGTCTTAATCTTTCAAAAAGGTCTCTCTCTCTCTCTCTCTCTCTCTCTCTCTCTCTCTCTCCTACTTCTCACCTTCATTTACATTCTTCATTGGAAGTGATGTGTATCAGTTCTGAAACTGATCATGCGCTGTATAGAACAAGATTGTTTTTCACTTGAGAATCAAATGATCAACACCAGAATTGGTAAGATCGCGTTCGAATTTTCTTGTGTTCAAAACATCCAGCACACTTTCCAATGGGCGGGTCCTGTCTGGCAAGGACATTATTTTCGGGCAAGAGTGTAGTCTCCGAAAACTGTCATCATTCTCTCTTTTGCTGTGTTGAAGGATGGTTGGTCTCCTCAACTTTTTTGGTTTTTGAAAATGTTGTATGAAATACCGTAAAACCTGTAATAAGAGAACTCCCTAATTTTAAACTTTGAGCCAATTTATCACGGTACCTGTCAAAGATATAAAACTGTTCTGGTTCCAAGTAATTTTTCAAATTACGATAAAATTTTTTTTAGTTGACCACTTTTTGGTATCTTTCAAAGTAACTGAGAGAAATTGACTCAAAGTGGAAAGTTAGGGGTAACGTTCTATTAGAATTTTACGGTAAAAAAAAACGAAAATCTTTAGATAGGTCTGCTTTGAAGAATCTATTACCAAGCGGATGCGTTCATGTTGCTTAACGAGTTCCGATATCGAAGTCAACATTTCGATCACCGTAAAACTTAGTAGAAGAGCCCACTAATTTTTGACTTTGAGTCAATCTATCTCGGTTCCTGTCGAAAATATATAAATCTCGGTTCCTGTCGAAAATATAAAAAAATCTTTGATAGAAGCCAAGAAAAATTATCTCAAACTTGACAATAAGGGGCCTTTCTATTACAGGTACGGTATCTATCGTTTATAATTTTTTTTTAGAAATAAGAGCTCTTCTTTTGGTTTCAGCCCGTTTCAGAAGGTGAAAAATTTAGACGAGAAAGCGGATTCATAGTTTTACGACAATTGATCAACAATAACAATAAACATAGCAAAATAAAAAAAAAACAACACAGTTTTGAGTGTGCTTCAAATTACTGGATTGACGGTAACCAGAGTTGAGTTAAAGAAATTTTCTCAGGCTACCACGAAACCTGTAATAATTGGGACATCTGTCAAGTTTGATTTCAATTACCTAAGCTCTAAAGAGAGATATAAAAAAGCCACCTAATAAAACACTTTTGATAAGCAATTTATAAGATAAGCAATTTATAAATAAGCAATTCATAAGATTTATAAGCAATTTATAAGATAAGCAATTTACTTTTGATAAGCAATTTAATTTTTTGACAAGCAATTTATTAGTTGACAACGTTTTTTTTAGCGGGCGGGTGGGGCGGATGAAATTTGCCCGAAATGGAAATCTTACTGACAGTAACTAAGATAAATTGGCTCAAAATTAAAAGTTAATGGGTCTTTCTATATATAGAACGAATATGATTGACGAGAGTCTCGATTGGTAGGTTCTTTGAATTTCTTTCTGACGTCAAAGGAGTTTTGACTGGTTTATAATACAAAGCTTTTTGAGAATTGGTATGTTTTATGAGGTACATACCGAGTTTAAAAAATGTTAAACTCATGAATATGATTATAGAACTTTCAATAGTTCTAATTTAGGTTCATTTAGAACAGGAAGTTTTCATCCATCAGAGCCTGGCAGAAGAAGCATTCACAAATGTTGCTATTCTAATGTTATTTTCAAGTTTATTTTTCAATAAATATTCTACTTTGTCATTCATCGCTCTTATTTCCAGACAAGGGAATCCTTTTTTCACATTTTATTTCTTTGTTGCATTTTATTTGAAGAACAAAGGACACCTAAATCAGTTTCATCCAGGAACCGAAAATAAATCTTATTTCTCTGCCCATCCTCACTTTTTCCAATGTATTGTGACGTCGAGTTTTGAGGAAGATGAATAAGAAGAAAAAAGGATATTGGAGGAGTATGAATAAATTTGGTTTTTCCCTCCTTCTCTCTTCTTTTTTTCATTCTTTTGGCAACATTCTAGATGTGATAATCATCTGAATTAGTTACAAACCCGTCCTCTATTTCCGTGTATCCTTTCAGAGAAAAAAGAAGAAGAAATTCAGATGATGCAACGATGGTCAGTGCTTTCACTTGCACCTAAAACTTTTCTCAAAGTTGGGTTGGGTTGTTTGGCATCAATGAGAATGCCAAATTTAAAAGAATTTTAAACCAGATTTCAATAAAATTAGATTTACAGGGTGGTGCATAATTACCCGGACTAAAGTTTGAACTAGCCTAAAATTTGAATAAAGTGCTCAAATTTGGAGTGCAAAAACTCAAAACATTCATCAGTAAGCTGACCAAATTTCAAATTATTTGATCAATGTTGAGCTGAGTTATGGCCTGTAAAAGTTGCTTCATCTCATAAAAACCACAAGAAGCATTACCCCGTTCATCTTTGGAAAATCATAACAATACCTAAACTTGGTGAACCACTTTGAAAGTTTCAGTAGCTTTGAACCAAACGTTAAATTTTATTTCTACCAGTTTTCGTGCTTCCAAGATACTTATAACTGAAGATATATCCGTTTTTATCAATTGTGTACCACCCTGATCACTAAAATTTAATATTTTTACTATTTTCCTGAAACCCCATTACTTTTCCATTTCATTTTCATATATTCATATTCATATTTTGTGAACACTGGTTAAAAATAATTCCTCCTTCCAGTTCTCCCTTTCAAATGAAAAACACATTGTATTCTCTGAAAAAGCCACCAATACACTCATTTCGTGTATGAATGACAAATTAAAATAAAAGATCCTCTTTGACATTCAATTAATCAGTATAGATTCTGTCTATCCCTCCCACATCTTCTCTCCCTCACTTCTTTCCAGACTGAAAATTGCCGGAAAAAGTTTCGTGTGCGCAGGTGCAAACGTGACGAAAAGATGAGCCAATGAGACTAATTTCTGGGGATGAGGAAAACGAGGAAACGAGTCCGTTATCTATCTCATAGAGTGACCACAAAAATACGCTAAAATGGGAGTACTTGTTTTTCGGGTAACTCATCTTTTCCCTATCCGTTATGTTGCCAATTTTCCACTTTTTTTTCGAAAGAGAAGGAT